TAAAGAGAATTTTAACATTCGTATTAATTTATTGAAGTGTAAGTATCCAATGGGATGTAGAAAAAATCGTTTTTTTTTAAACTTTGACTTTGGACCAGAGCCTATGCAAACCTTTGAAAGCAGTTTAATGAAAGCACAACAAATACTAATATTTACAAACTAAACAAACCTCACGTCACTAAACAAACCTCCACTAACCAACACAAACTATATGAATAAAATATTCCATTTTTGAAACTGGCCAAATATTTCTTTATTACTTTACCAGCAGACAAACATTCACATTTATATAATTCACATACACAATTCACACATGCATTGTATGCACATTTGTGGCATACCTACCATGCAAGTTTATGATGCATGGATGCGCATGCACATGCATTCCTGTACATACCGGCTTAGGCACGCTAATCTGTCAGCATAACACGGAAAGTAAATTTATCAAGAAACTTGCTTCGCGTCTAATTAAACCATTGATTGATAGTGAGACAATTTTATTTTTTCTAATGATATATATCATTTTGCACGTTGGTTTATTCAATACAACTTATATATTTAATGTTAACATATTATTAAGTGAAGGCCTACAGGTTTTGCTTAGTCTAAAATAATTTTAAATGAAACACAAGAATTATATCATAAAAATAAAGTAGATGTTTACTTTTAAATTTAAAATAAAACAACAGTATAGATGCAAGTATTTTTATTAACATCATCATAATATAAGTATCGTACGATGAATATGTAGTATCATTATCCGATATATAAACTCTCTACAGAAGATTATGAATAATAAAGGATACATTATAAAACGTTTGAAATTATTATGACTAAAAACACGACACGTCATTGTGACGTCACAACATCAAAGGTCAAACAAATTATGAAAGGTCAAGTTGTTTGGTCGGCCCGTTGTGTTGTGTCGTGTCGTATTACGTGGTGTGTCATGTTAGCGAATGATTGTGCGCTCAGGTAAAAGTTGCTAATTATGCTTTATGTACAACTACACATGGATATAAATGTTTATTCGTTTAAAATAAATTCATATGTTTCTCTACGCGTGCGTGTGTGTATTGTTTTTTATGGGTGTGTATGTGTATGTATATATGCGCATTTGTATATGTCTAAATTTGTATCTGTGTGTGTGTAAGTTTGTGTGTGTGTGTGTGTGTGTTTATATGTGTTTATCCTTGAATTGAATTAAAAGCTTTACTATAAAGACATGCACAAGACTTTAAATGGAATTTTAATGGATTGAAAAATTGGAAGAAAAGAGATTTGGAAAAAAAACTAAAACGTGTTCTTATAGTTTAAAAACAAAAAAAACAAAACTTACCGGAAGTGTCATCATTATCATCATCATCCCGTTTGACGTCACGATTACATACAATCATATTATCCATAATCGCCACAATAGTTTTCATCATCATTATCATAATCATCGTTATCATACTCGAGTTGGCACACACAAACAACAAACACACACAAACAACAAACACACAAACAACAAACACACACAAACAACAAACACACAAACAACAAACACACAAACAACATGCACAAAATGCTAGTAGGCTTGTACCACAAAACAACATCAAATTTACAATAACAATGGCGATGACGACGACGATAATAACAATAATAATAACAAAAAGAATAATAATAGCAATAATAAGGTTGTTGATGATGATGATGATAAATATGAGGATGATGATTATGACGTCAATGAAATTGATAGTGATGATGATGATAATGATAAGGACTTGTTATACTATACATTTATTAATATTATGACGTTGATGTCTTATGATACATTATATATACATTATATAGATATATATATATATATATATATGTGTGTGTGTGTGCGTGTGCGTGTGTGTGCGTGTATGTGGGTATTTATTAAATGAATGAACGGTGTTGACAGAAAACTTTAAATTCAAAATGACTCTAATCTTCTTCAAACTTCGCAGAAATTGAGATTTTAAATTAATGTTTGCACAGAAAAAAACTATAAAAAGATAGAGACATATGTTTATGTATGTGTGTGTATGTGTATTGTTTGTGCGTGTGTGATTGGGGTGTGTGTGTGTGGTAAATTTTCGAATTTTTGTGAGTTTTATAAAATATTCAAGCATTTTTCAGTTTTTTATCTGATAGGGAAAGAGATGTTTTAAGATTTTTTCTTTATTGGCAATAAAATGAAATAATTAAAAAGTTTATAAAACATCAGAGTGGAGAAAATATTATTTCAATTTTACAATTACTTTACCAAAAATGCTGAATAAGTTAACGAAGTAATTACTGATCGGTGAGCCAGTGAGTGTAGGTATGAGTGAATAAAAACCGAATGAATGGATGAATGAATGAAGGAGTGAATAAATTAGTGAATTAATGAATGAATGAGTGTGTAAAATGAAGAAATGAACAAAGAACGAACGAACAAATAGATGGATAAAATATATCAGCAAACTGCAAGATAATAGTTGCGCGTATTCGAATTTTTAGCAATATAATGGAAAAAATATTTAAACAAAGCAAACCAATAACCCTTTTCAAGCTATAATCATTACTTTGATATCCTTTTAGTATCATCTTCATCATCAGATTGATATCATTTAGATATCATCACTATCATCATATTGATATTTCATAACCACCATCATCATCGTCGTCGTCATCACCTTTAAAAGTAAATGTCAGATTAATATTTTTAATGATACAAAATAAAAAAATTTTTTTGGATTGAATGTACTGTTTTGCCATCTCAAGTTTCACGCATCATCATCATCACCGTTATCATCATCATCATCATCGTCGTCGTCATCATCATCATCATCAACATCATCGTTATCATCATCTTAATTATTATCATCATCATAATCATCCTGATTATCATCATCGTCATCCTCTTCATTATGATTTAAAAATCTGATCATCTCGTCATCATCATCAATCAATCGAAAAACGTTCCATACAAACACACACACACACACCACACACACACACACACCACACACACACAAACACGCATACGTACATACTACAGTGACTACAGTTTTCCACGTCGTCACATTTTATTGCTCAATATCGTTGCAGTCATTAGCACTTCAATCATCACCATCATCGTCGTCGTCCTCTTCATAATCATCATCATTTTAATCAAAACCATCATCACCATCATCATCATCCTCAACATCATCATTATCATCATCACCATTATGTCATAGTCCTTACCACCATGTCATCATAATCATCGTCGCGGATTTTTCTGTCATGTTCATCATTCCATCTGCTCATAGCGATGTTTGTTGATGTTCCTACTCAGACAGCAGGATATCACTGCTCCCAGTAGCTGTGATAATGACGATGATGATAGTAGTGGTGGTGATAATGATGGTGATGATGAGGATGGTAAGGATCACCATCATCATCACTATACAACCATCATCACCACCACCACCATGCAATCATCATCCTCACCATGCAATCAACATCACCACCACCATGCAATCATCACCACCACCATGCAATCATCATCATTACCACCACCATAAAATCATCATCATTACCACCAACCTGGACAAGTCCGAACCCAGCAGCTATGCCACCGATCATGGAGAAGTTGCTTCTCATGAACGCTGACACCCTCTCAAAACATCCCTAGATGGATGGATGGATGGGCGGATGAATGAATAGATGAATGAATGGATGGATGAATGATTGATTGATTGAACGAATGGATAGATGAATGGATGGATAAAAAAATGAATAAATGAATGAATGAATTAACGATTGGTTGAATAAATAAATGAATCAACGAATGAACGAACGAACGTTTGATTGTATTGTATTGTGTTGTACTCTGTTGTATAGTATTGTTTTGTATTGTACAATATCGTATTGTATTGCATTGCATCGTATTGTATTGTATTGTATTGCATTGTTTAGTATTGTACGTATGTGTATATATTGCTTTGCATGTTAACATTTGCACGCAAACAGCTAATGATTCACTAGGTACGAGCAACATTTTTATAATGGATTTTTGTGTTTTTCCTAGCTACCACATTCGACACAACGCTCATATCTGCACAGTAGTGTCCAAAACATGCACGTACACACTCAACACATCACTTCACACACACACACGCACACACGCACACACACACATCTAAAAAACTACAAACACAAAATTAGTTACCCACACGAAACTACACTAACAACTCGTCGTTCGTGCATTCGTGCATGTAATAAAATATACACCCAAGTAGTTATGAAAACAGCACGCACGCACACACACACACACGCGCACACACACACATGCATACAATAAACCCTACATATACATAATTAACTACACAGCACACATATCTTATATTACGAATTACGACACAAAATTCAGTTATATGCCAGGAATAGATAAAAATACATTTAGAACAGCAGAATACAGCGGAAGCATACCTTGACGTAGATAGCTTCAGGGTCAGTGGTGTCGCACTTCTTGACCTTGCAGCAGCTCTTGGGCACGGGTATGTGGCCGTGGGTGATGGTGTAGTTGGACCAGTCTTCGTGGCTGTTGTAGCCGCAGCAGCGAAGCTGTTTTGAAAGATGCACGTGATGATGAGAGTGATGATGACGGTGATGACGATGAGGTCAAACGTTGTTGATGATGAAAATAATTAAGGTGATGGTGACCTGTACTGTGAAGATGTTGACGTCATTCATAAAGATGATGACGTCCAATGTTAAAAAGTGATGAATATATGAACGAATGAAAAATGAATGCCTTCACCATCACCACAATCGTCATTCTCATCGTTTTAACAATCATCACCATAATCACTATAATCATGACCGTAACCGTCATCATCATCAGAACCAACTTTACTCTGAATGCCATCAATGGCAGCCTGCTTCTCCGGGTCTTCCATGTATTCCTCCATGGCCAGCAACATCCCCTCGCTGAATCCACGCTTGATCTGATGGCCAGTGATGATGATGTAGTGATGGTGAATGTAATGGTGATGATCATTCATTCATTCGTTTATTTATTCATTCATTCATTCGTGCTGCAGCACGCATCCGTCAATCAATCTATTCATTATTTAATTATATATTAGATCCATTCAACTATCTGTCTATACACCCATCCATTCTTTCTTCCATTCATTTATTAATTAACTCATTATTTCATTCATTAATTAACTCATTAATTAATTAATTAATTCATTCATTCATTCATTCATTCATTCATTCATTCATTCTTTCTTTCTTTTTCTATTAGTTATACAAAATTTCATTGCTAATATTCCAAGAGTGCATGCGAGATATCATTAGGTACGAAATTCACGGTGCTAATAAATTTATTTCAAATACAAGTAAAAATAACAAAAACAACAACTACAATAATAATAATAATAGTAATAATAACAGTTAATAATAATAATAATTAATAATAATAGTAATTAGTAATTAATAATAATCAATAATATTAAGAAGAAGAAGAATTAATAAATGAATAATAATAATAATAAATAATAATAATAATAACAGTTGTAATAATAATAATAATAAGAAGAATTAATAAATGAATAATAAATAATAATAATAATAATAATAATAATAATAACAGTTGTAATAATAATAAAAAGAAGAAGAAGAATTAATAAATGAATAATAATAATAAATAATAATAATTGAACTAACGGTATCCCTATAGACGAACGCCGATATGGCGGTGGAAACCTCCAAGATGAATATCATTATCAGGAATGCTGTGAACTGATGATGACGAAGACGACGATGATGATGATGATGATTTTATAGACCACCAACAAATAAAAATATTGTTTTAAAATTTTTTTTTGGTAAATATTACATACGTTAATGAAATCTAATCATCATTTCATCTATAAATGCATTTAAAAAACTATGGCATGTTTTTATTGTTAAAATAAATTATGTTACCATTCAACGTTCATTAATCATTTCATTCATTTATTTACCTATGCATCCATTTATTCATTCATTCGTTTGTTCGTTCATTCATTCATTCATTCATTCCTTCCTTCATTCATTCATTCATTCATTCACCCTTTCAAAAAATTAGCGCCATATAATGGTTTTTTTATACGTTTATTTTTTTTACAACCAATCATCCATCCATTCATTCATTCATTTATTCATCCAGTCATTCATCCAACCCATCATCTATCCATTCATTCATCCATCCATTCATCCATGCATCCATCAGTGTACTCACCAAGTACAGCCATCGCCCGTGTCCTTTGATAGTGCACATGCAGCCGAGGCAGCCAATCAGAATGATGGCCATCCCAATGGAAACCAGAATGTATGGAGCCGCATCGTAATAAACAGTGGTCAGCTGCATGTAGCGGTACAGTTCAAAGTGCATCCATAATCCAAGACCCAGTATCGCCACACCAGATGCCTTGATTGTGATTGGTTGGTTTGGTTGTGGGTTTTAATTGGATGGTTGTGAACTGTGATTGGTTGGTTGGTTTGTTGCGGATTGCGATTTGTTGGTTAATTTGTTGTGATTGATTTTAATTGGTTGGTTGGCTGGTTGCGCGGTTAATTGACACTTTATTAGAGAAACTGGCATGTTTTGTAAAATGTTAGTCAAAAATTCGTTGACCCAAAAATTTGCTGTCAGCTTTTTTCATTTATCAAAATACTACGGCCTTGATATCTTAGCTTTAGTTTTTGTTTACACAAAGTGCAAATGATTATGGATAAATGATAACAATTACTGAACGACTTACATTTGATAAAGATAAAATTAATCTTATATATTTTATTAGAACGAAGTTTTTTCAAAACAAAAAGTGAACAAACCAGGAAAACAAAATTGAAGATGGTGAGGAGAATCTTAAGGAAGTTTGTGGCCGCAGATGATTGGAAAGTTGATTTCGCCCTATTCGACATTATATCAGCTTTTGTTCTTTCTTCTCAAGAAATTATTTCATCAACCAAACTTTTCTCACTTTCAGATTTTATTTTATTTCAACAGGCTTGTCTGTCCATTCAAAATTACAACAGTTGATATTACAAACGTTTAATAATCTGCCAGTGAATTATTATTCCGCCGCTGTCTTTCTAGAGTTCTGGAAAAAGTTGTAAAATTTGTTATTATAGTTATTATATATTATATAAAATTATAAAAATTCATAAAATTGATAAAAAAACCCACAACAACCACAGTGGAAAACAACACTGACACACATTCTTAGCATATAAAAATTTTTTTGAAATGTAAAACAGCAGAACAATCCTTACTAAGCGAACGTACAAAAACAAACATATGTCAAAATGATAACATTCAGTCTCCAAACAGTATTCGGTTCGTTCTCTCATTCATTCTACAGATTCATTCATTCATTCTTTCGTTCACTCAATCCTTCTTTCAACTCGGCGCACGTGATACAGCTGGTTACATTCCATGCTTTCAATATGTGCATGCAGTGAATGCAGTTACATTATTCCGTTTTGTCAGATCCATGCTTACTCACCCCAGCAGTCATATATTAATATATCACTCGCGATACAGTTAATTTTGAAACGTTCTCATTAATAATTAATAAACTTTAAATATTTGTGATTATGTTCATGCACGCATCTCAAACAACATATGCATACATACATGTGTATATATAATGTGCACACGTTAGCTCTTAGTTCCGGTACAATTTTTGGTAGAAAAACAAATTGATGGTGACAATAAATTTTTATTGATGAGTTGTTATGTGTTTTTGCTGTCTATTAATATGACGGATGTTTAAAGTAGCAATTAGCAATTCACTTCTAATTAAAATACATTTTAACTTGCACACAAACTCACAAATACATATATGTAATTGTGTATATATGTATGTATATATATATATATATACATACATAAATAATATAATAAATATATATAAAGATAAATACACACACACACACACACACATATATATATATATATATATATATACATAAATATATATATATATATATATGTGAGCAAAATAATAGGAGATGTTTTGTTGTTTCAATCGTGAAAGAATGGATGAATCATGAATCATGGTTGCAACAAACAAAAATTATTACAACTAGCGCCTATTGTCACTTTGCCACTCACTATATCACCAACATAGTTAAGTGTTACAAAATCAGTTGATAACGTTATCCTCATAGTACAAAAGAATGTAAATTTGGATGCCTTTGGCAATCTTCAATCATGAATGTTCATAAATCTAGTTCTTTTGAAGAAATCCGTTGGAAAATTCTGTGGCAACTCTATGGCCATCCTTTTGAGAACTTTCATTTTTATTCCATTTTATTTGTTTAACGTAAGGATGGATAATTTGGATATAGATGTGAAAAATCTTTTGCCGCAGCATTGTTACTAATATTCTGTGAGAATGTTGTATGAATTATAATACAAATGGTACAAATTGTGAATTTTAACTCTCTCACACACCTCACATACCACACACACACACACACACACACACACACACACACACACACACACACACACATCTTTTTTGAAATTCAACTAGCTAATGTCTCGCATCACAAAAAATTAAAGTACAAATGCGATATGAAGTGCAAATGAACATTAACAGTGATGACTGACTATAACTATGACGTCATCGACGATGACGACGACGAGCGTGAGAATAATAAGAATTTGTTTACCATCTCGAGGAGGAATATTAACGATAATACGTGGACAAAAGAAGGTGAAAAAAATGGTTCTCTCATTTGTATGGTAATTTTTCTAGTGACGATGTTTATAAGATTCTCAACATTTTTTATGGGAACGTTTTTTGAAAACACTAATATTATTAAGATAATGTTTGCTATCGCAACTATCAATATTCTTATGAAGCAATATTCTTAAAATATGTAAATATTTTTTTAAAAGTTTGATATTTTATTTTTCAATGTCATTCATTCAAAGGTCGGAGCCGTAATTTTCAAACGATACATTCATTTCAACCAATTCGTGATTGAAATCATCAATTTAAAAACCGCTTCCTTACCGCCTGCATAACCACGCTGCATCATTCATCCGTCATCATTTGTTTCCTTCCATCATTCTTCGCATCTAAGATATTTTTCGACCATTGCACTATTGAGCAGTAGTAGCAGCAACAACAGCAGCAGCAGCAAGACAGCTTGCTTGCTGCATCCGTCTTACACAACAGACGGACAGACAAGATGTCGACAACGTTGCATTGCCCACTACTCTGACGTCACTTTTTGTTTTGAATTTTTGCGTTTTCTCTTAACGCACGGATGGACATTTGTAGCGATTCGTAGAAGACGTCTTGCGACGTTGACGTTTCTTACTTGTAATTTTTCAATTGCATTTCAAACAGACAAAATTCTCGCTGATATACGCAGCAATAACCGAATCACGCACACGGAGAGACAAGCAGATACAAATTTGTGCAATTTTTTCAATTTAATTTGCACGCACCGACACGAACGCGTTAAGGACGCGTGTCATTCCCGAGAGCGGGTTAAAGTTCATAAACAATATTTTCAGAATGATCAATGATGGTTTGTTCGTGTACGTTCGTACTTATGTGCGATTTACGTGTGCCTATGTGCGTCTGTACGTACGCGCAACTCAGGTGTATATTTTTATATTTGTACATATATCATCTATGAGAGAAACCAACTAATAATTTTTTTATTTGAAATAATGACGAACGTAGACAGATCAGAATCGCATTCGACATTGAAATTCCAAAATATTTTTGATCACACGCTGAATGGCTTTAATTTAGGAAAGGATGGCATAACCAATGACCTCAACCACGGCAACAAACCAACAACATTCACTACAAATTTGACTCAGCCCCAGCCCACAAAAAACTAAGTAAGGCCTGATGGAGCATGCAGCTAAACATCGAAAATCCAGAACGATAGATGGACGGCTATACAGGTGATAAAATTCGCTCATTTTCAGCACGATGAAAATTTACTACGCGTCAAAATTATTTATTTTATTTTTCTTAAATAAACGTTTCAAAAAGTTTTAAAATTAATATTTTTAAGTTAAAAACGGAACTACATCCAATAAATTATTTATGATAATTTACTTTCCAAAAAAGCATGCTTTCTTAGATTGGGACAAACAAACACTCAGCGTAAACTATTAAGAAATATTGATAATACCAGAAGGATAAAAATAAGTCAATCAACCAATATCCTATATAACAACACATTTAATCAAATTAACTACACACGACTAACCAACATCCGGTTACTTCTCAGGAACAGAAACACAAAAACATGTAACGGACACAATTTATTCGACAAACGAAACGACATAAACCAATCGGATAAGAGAATAAGACTTCAAAAATGTTAACAGCCTACAACAGGCCCCTTCTTCTCTGGGACCCACTGAAAACGCCCTCCGAATCCCTCCTGTAACCACCAATGGGAATCCTTTCTCTCTGCTTAAAACCATCTTGAAGGCCTCTCTTCTTCTTGATTGTTGAGTCAAGATAAGTTTCAAAGGAGTCTACCAGGAGATAGCCAGTCGATTGCAGGTTGGATTCAAATTGGTTGACAGATTTCAAGAGAACTTTGCTGGATGGAGATGAGGAAGATGTTAAGCTTGCCTTCAATTTCTCCAGCTGATGTTGTTGGTTAGGTTAAAGAGTATAGAACATTTCATTAGAGCATGACTATCATATTAATCACGTAAACGTTTATTACAATACAATACAATGCAATACATTACAAGTGAAATATTAAGTTTGGAAAAAAAATTATCCATTAAAACGTTAAAAGCACGTAAAAATATAGTATTTTGATAAATTTGGCTGATAAAAGTGTTTAGAATGATAAATAAAATGAACGAATAAACTGAACACACACAACAAAAAACATAAAATAATAAAGAGATGACAAAAGAGACAAACCACTTCCTGGAAGATATCAATTCTCCTGGCACCCGGTCGATCTCTGTTAACGTAGGAGCTGAGGATGTGCAGGGCCTCCTCGAACCTGCCCAACTCTGCATAGATCAGCGACTGGGAAGAGAAAAAATAATTTCACAAAAGATAATTTTTTGAAAAAATAAATGAGATTTTAATCAAGAATCAATTTCATGAACTAAATTTTTATGAATATGTTTAAGTAATTTAGGCTGATAATAATACTTGCATAATTCAGAGTACGTTCTAAACTAAGACACAAAACTTGTACAAAACACATACTAAATTGACAGCAAAGCCATACATACACATACACATGCACATAAAACACACACGCACGCACGTATGCACGCACACACACACACTCAGTCAGAGGCTACCTTGAGATTAATGTAGGCAGATGGAAGGTTAACTTCTCTATTTCCTGACAATAGACTCAACATTTCCAAAGCTAATTTTGCATCTTGCTGAGTTTATTTGTATGGAAAATAAAGTTGTATGAATTAATAAAATAAAAAAAAACATAAAAAAATCAAACAGTAGAATTGCAAATATACTAAAAATAAGTTATAAAAATCCAAATATAACTTGTTTATATGCTAGAAATGAGCTATATATGACTGTTCTCAATGACAGATCACATTCAGAAGACTTAGCACTCAACAGAAGTGCCTTCAACTTTTCTAGTGACTCTTTTGTGTTCTGTTTGGAAAAATGAATTGATATGTAATTACTGGTCATTATCCTTGTCATTAAGTTATCATCATTTTAACATTGTCAATCAAGACCAGTCATTATCATAGTCCCGACCATCTTATAAGCAGCAGCAGCAGCGAGAGTCATGCAGTCGACGGGGTACTTGATACGTGTCGCGTGTCGCCTGGCTACCTCGTGCATGGCCTCTATCACTTTCTCATACTCCTTGCAGACGTACATCAGGTCCATGTATGTTACACACGTTGTCATTTGATTGAAAAAACCATCTAGTGACTTTAAAGAAGAGTAATTATCATAAATATGAAACCAAAACATTACAACCATAACTTGGAAGTTTTTCTAGCAAAAAATTAAACCCACTATCATACATATTCTGTTAACAAATCTCAATTGAAAATGGTTTTTTAATTTATAATAATTAAACTTAAGCAAGATTTTAAACATCAATGAAAATTAAAACTTGAATACATGAAATGATATATTTCAAAGTGAAGTAAATGACCTTATCATTGAAGAGCTGGTATGCAAGTTTGTGGTTCTGGTGTATATATAATAACCTCATGACAAGTGGGCCAAATCTGAAGGCCGAAAATTTCATGTCAACATTTTGGGAATGATATCTGAAAGTGTTTTTAATTAATTAGCTCATTTACATTTAGTTTGTCAGAATTTTATTGATTGGTTATAGAAAAATCTAATGAATATTAATTTTCAAATAACTTTCTGATCATGTGAGCCACAAGGTCTAGGTCATCTGTTGTCTCAGCAAAGTACACAACCATCTTCAAATCTTCAGTAAATATGGAGTTATGGTCAGACTCTTCCACATAACTTTTGACTTTCTTCATAAAATTCCCTTCATGAATTACATAGAAAAAAAGTATTTATAATCTATAGTAATCTATAGTAATTTATAATATTAATAATAATTATTATACTGACAATTAGATTAAAAATACTAAAATAAAAAATCATAAAATCCTACTTAAAACATGAACAATTGAACAAATTGTTAAAATTAAAATTGAATTAATATTTAATAACAATAAATAATTAATTAAAATTATAAAAGAACAGTTTAAAAACCTAACTAAACTTGGTATTAAAAAAGGTCAAACCAAAGGGTTAAGGTAGGTAAACTAACCTTTCAAACTACCGATTTCATCAGACATTATGGCTTTTTGTCTTTTAAAGTTTTCAATGCCGACATACTCCGAGCAAAATAGATACCTTTTTCCTGAAAAAATTTATTTGGAAATTTTAAAATGAGCCAGTCGGATTTGATAACCTACATTTTCCACAATCACCATAACAAAAAAATGATAAAATGAATCAAATAAAGTTTAATTTAATGAAATCAATATAAAAACTTAAACAACCTGTGATATCACTGTTATTTGCATTATTCCAGCTTTGATCGGCGGCAAACAGCACGTTACGGCAGGAAAATAACCCGGAACGAGCCAAACACAACGCACGTGAAACCACAGCCATTTATTTTGTTTACCAGAAAAAATCAAAATTAGCAGAGAAGCAAGACCTGACCTAATTTCAAGGTTATGATTAAAATTGTGGCGGTGTTGTGTCAGCCTATACTTAGAATATCTGTGTATGGGCAATACCTCTACCACCATGAACTTCTGGATAAATAGACAATAGAACTATTCCTATTATCTAAAAATCTATGGACTATCGCAATTTAAAATTAAACAAAACTTATTGTCAGTTTCATCATCCAGTTCACAAAGCAAACGTTACAGTACAGCAGTACAGAACAGTAAAACAGATTGTTCTATATTCATATGAATAAAAACTATTTTCTGCATTCAACCTGCGTCAAGAAATTATTATCAATCTTTATAGAATAGTAATGTTTTTATCAGCTTTTGGTTCAGTTTTTCAATAATTCGTATCGTATTTTTTATCCTTTTTCAACTTGTTTATATAGAAAACAAAGTTTTTAACTACCTTCTTTATTAATTTTCTCTGTAATCTTTCACCATTTTCAAAACGGTATGATGTTATCAACTAATGATTCTATCTTATATGTACTTATATCTGGAACCAAAAAAGCAAATCAATAACCCAATAACCTAGAACCAATAAGCCAATTATATCTATAATTTCGTAGGAACCGTAAAATACGTAGAATAAAAAAACTTTTGCCTTTTTTTGATGATCCTACTCTTCTCCTTCTTGTTACTTCGTTAGTCTTATCTAGGATTGATTATTGTAACTCGCTCTACTATGGTCTTCCTGACTCTATACTCTATCTTTTAAGTAAAGCTTTTAACTCTGCTGCTCGTCTAGTTGCTCGTGCCCCTTTCTTTTCTCATATATCTCCATATCTTGTTCTCATGCACTGGCTACCTATAAAATATAGAATAATTTTTAAAATTTGCACGTTCATGTATAAGTCTCAATCTAAATTATTTCCTAAGTATTTATCAGATATATTAATTCAACCTAAACGCTCCGGTTTACGATCGTCTTCTTCTTCTCGCTTTTTTTTAACTCGTGTTAAACACTCTTTTGCCAAATCTGCTTTTACTTTTTCTGGTCCTTTTCTCTGGAACTCTCTACCTACTTCTCTAACTACTTCTCCATCACTTGCAAAGTTCAGAGCGGATCTCAAGACCCATCTGTTTTCAAAATTCATTAAGGAGCGCTGTTGAACATCACGGAAATAGCCCTTTATAAGCTAATTGATTAATTGATTGATTGATTGATTGATTGATTGAACCAACAAAGTAGAAAGGCACAGATATATAAGTATATATAAGAAACAACCATTAGTTGATAATATATTACATCGATGATGGCAAAAACTACCAAAAAAAGCTTCCTCTGCATAAAATAAAAATGAGTTCAGTATATATATATATATACACACACATACAAACATACATATATATATATATATCAACCATAGATGTCTCGACTTATTACATCGAGACATCTATGATGTTAACACAAACACATGTATACCTTATATAATATATATATATATATATATATGTGTGTGTGTGTGTGTGTATGTGTGTGTTTGTTCGTTTATTTTTAATCATAGAGTACCTTAATCATATTTTTAATCATAGAGTAAATTAAATAAGGATAAATAAACAGAAAGATATTTCGCAACTGAGCATTGCACAATTTAAAAATGAGACGGTTTATAATATCACATAGAATATTTTTAACCTTTGCTATCTCATGCTTGTGTGTCTTTTTATTCATTTTGAGTAATAAATTGTTTCTAAAATTGCAATTTTTTGAGTGTTCTCCGACAGTTTTTCACGGTTTAGGATTTTCAAGTTTTCCTCAAGAAATAAAAAACCAATTTGACAAATTTGCCAAATCCATGATCGACTCAATAAATCCAGATTTAATTGCATTTCTTAAGAATATAATACATCCTCCCAGTGGCAACAAAGTGTTGAAGTATCAGTTCATCACAAAAACACCGCAAGCCAAAAAAATTGATAACATTCTCAATAAAGTAAATTTCTATTATATCAATCATATAATTTCTTAAAATTTAAATGATGAATTTGTTTTTTCTAAGGACGACGAATGGATTCTTTGTAGAAGCAGGTGCATATGATGGTCAAACAGCATCAAACACGTTGTTTTTGGAAGTAGAGAGGAACTGGACAGGATTGTTGGTTGAACCTGATCCTTACTTTTTTACTCAATTGATTGGCAAGAATAGAAATGTATGGGCAATCAATGCTTGTTTGAGTCCATTCAATTATACCTCGAAGGTTAGTTGCTACGTTATCAACATTTCAATTAACGTTTTTAAGAAAGTTTTGTCAACCGTCTTCGCGCAAATTTGAACACATGTTCTACATGTTGTTTTGTTATGATGATTGTAAAAGATAATTGAAAATCCGTGTTAAATTTAAAAACAATATTGTGAAATATTAGAGTGATTTAAGCGATTTTACTTTTGTTTAACTTCATTCGCAAGTATGACAAAAGATAAGTTGTTTAGTAAATTAAAAAATTTTGTTTATCTAAATTTTATCTGAGCTTCAAAATTACTTTTTAACAAACTACATAGTTTATGAGAAATATCTGTAAAACCAATAGATTTCTAAATTATTATTCACACGAAAAACGTAAGCTCATACATTGTTAGTATTGATTGCAAGATGCCAAAGAAATAAAATTTAAGGATTGACGTTATCGAAATACCAAAAATTTAGATAGCTAGAATAATACGGACTGTTAACAGTTACCTTGCAAAGTATAAGCTAAGCAAGTCTAAAAGATGAGCAAACGTTTTGAAAAATTCGGAAGCATTTGAACTACTTGTATTATGTGTTTTTTAAATTTCTTGTTGGAAAATAGGTGTGCATGTGCACATCTGATACATTTGCAGTCATCGTAAAGATTTATCGGTGCTTTTTAGAAAGAGATTTTCATTTAATGATCAATAGTATGTCGAAACTGAGCAGTTCGTTGTAACGCTTTTTTTGCATTTACCATGCTTTTTAAGAAATAAATTTATATAGATTGTTTATTTAAGTTGGAGAAAACAGACGTTTATTGCATGTTATATGTATCAAGAATATGATTACCATAACATTTTTTAATTTGAATCGCATTTGCTAAATAAATTTGAGCTTAAGTAAGGGAGGGTTGCATTTAATCCTATTGATTAAGAGTTTGTAATAAATCTCCAGCTTGCAGTTTGTACTTGCGATCACTTAGATTTTTTTTCAATTTTTTCTTTATTTGTTTATTTCTTTTTTTACATCTAGTGTCTAACGGGTGATGATGATTAATTTTAGATTGGCAATGAATGTGCATTCGAAGTTTTGATCAGTTTTAGGTAGAATTAAAGATTACAATTTAAACTCTTTAACTTTTGTGGTAGTACAGTACTTTCAAAACATTAAATTTTCGTTAAAGATGTTTCTTAATTAAGTTATTTGAAAAACTCTGTACTGTATAAAATAAATAAATATAACCTGGTTTTCAAAACATATCGGACAAATCATTCTTAGGTGATTACTTCGAAGTTCCAACCAATCAGTGAATTTATTTTCAAAACTACATCATGATCGAGTATTGTAAATTTTGAAAAATCGTCAACTTTTCGAACGATTTTAAATGTTGTGCTTTGCTTTGAGATTTTAACCAATTAAATTATCATAACTTTCAGCTGTATTTTGAAGAAAGTAACACTCAAGTAGGAAGATTGAAATCAAGCGAGACAAAAGAACTGGCCACTGAAGTTCCATGTTTTCCATTAGATGCTCTGCTACTTGCACTCGAGAGGACAACTGTAGACTTCTTCAGTTTGGATGTGGAAGGAGACGAGGTCGCGGTATTGAAGACCATACCCTTTGACAAATTTGACATAAAAGCACTGGCTGTTGAATACAGACACGGCATAAAAGAGGAATATCTTGATGTGATGAAGAGAAACAATTATAACCTCAACAAGACTTTGAGTGTTGATCACCCGGAAATAAATGTATACGTTGATGATTTTATATGCTACCTATCTGCTACTTTAGCGTTTCACTCAGGCATTGCAAAGCACAATGTTAACATTCCATTGCATTATCAGTATAATTTTAAATAAAAAATATCTTATAATGATTTCGTAGTGTTCAAAACGCCTCAACATGTCATCGTGTCAAATGTTTCTCAAAGTTATTAAACATATAAATAAATAAATTACAAGTCTAGCTAAATGAAGCGCAACATAAATCCTGAAATACAATATCTACAAGATACGATTTAATCGCTAACGATTATCGCGCTATGCAATGTACTGCAATAATCGTTAGCGCCTCTGAGATCTTTTTTAAATGGCGCTTACAAACACACCACCGACAACAACAATAATAATAAATTTATTCACCGCTATCCTACAATCCTACAAGCCTATACAGTGTATATATATATATATATATGTATATATATATATATATATAAACATATAAAATAGACTACACATCACAAAATATTAACGAAAAATAAAATATTAAGCCATAATATAAGTGAAATCGATGAATAATCTGTTTAATCTGCAACCAACAATCCTACTACACTAATTAAACGGGAATCATTTTAAAAACACATGTATACATAACACATGTATACATAGACCTAAATATGTATATTTATATAGCATTTTCAAAAAATATGCATATAGAGTTGAAGTTAATTGCGTTTAACAGGAGGAACACTTTACAAAATTTGAGTAAAAAAATGTACATGCATTATTTTGATTTATCAACCAAAAAATAGTTCAAAATTTCAAAGGCACATGATGCGATGCATAGTACAGTGTGGTTATAAATACAATAGTAAAAGATCATGTAGGTTGTGAAATGTATAATTTACTACTAAAATACACAATAACAGCTTGTAAGTAAGGCTTGTAATAACTTCAGGACTTGAGATTCAGTTGTGATGTCAGATCGTTCGTTCGCTATGCCAAACTCATTTCAATTATAAACAGGTGCCATACAAATCTAATTTAATCGATCGCATTGAAATGTCTATTGCATTTGAAATGTCAATCATATCAAAAACTGGGCGGGCCTAGCCCTCCCTCAACCGTTAAAAATTTGGCCGTAACGTTAAAGATGTTGGTGAAGCTGACGATGGTTCCTATTGTGTGTATCAAATCTAACACTAAATCGTACGTCTATTGTATAACGTATTGTATGTGTATATTGTGTAAATGTGTAAATTAAAATTGCAGGCGGATCAGCGGATCTAGGAAAGATTCAGCAAAATGAGTAACATGTGATACGAGCACAAAACAGAACAAAGAGAACGTTGAAAATTTTTCTCAATCATTTCATTTAAACAATGGAATAAATAGTTAAACAGGTGGTAGATGCTAGCTTAAAAAAAAATTTGCATTCGTGAAAAATTTCTTACATCAGCTCTTATAACGTAAATTGATTTTCTCATGAATTATTTTTTTAAACGTTCTGCTGCTGTTGTTTTGTGTTGGTTTGTCGATTGTTGTTGCAGTGTTGTTGCTTGTCGAAATGGTATCGTTGTTATCTGTGGTGTTGGCCTCTTGCTGAGTGTTGCTCTCGTCTGCATCAATGTTCTCACATGTTGTTAACTGGATGGTTTTTTATATTTGAAATTAATTCTTTTTACTTTTTATCTATTTATTTATTATTTATTTACTCATTTATTTATATTTTGAAATTTTTTTTAACTTCAATAGTTCTATCAAAAAATCAAAAAAGTATTTTAGAATCTTAAAGAAAAAATCAATAATAATATAAGAGATAATTTAACTGGCTGATGATAGCTAAATTGACAAAACAATAAATTTTTTCAAAGGCCGAACTCGTCTTTTCTTTATTTTCTTTAAATTCTCTTTCTTTTAATTCATCTATGTCTATTTCTAAAAAATGCTGGTCTTCTCTTAATAAAGATATTTTTCTTTAATCTCTTACTGAAACTATTGATTGTTTACCTTCGTTATGAGAGCCTTGTTCTGCTGGTGTAGTTGGTCGGCAATTTTGGCACAAGGACATCTCTTGTAGTCGAAGCAGTGGCAACTGCAATCTAAAACCTTCAAAAAATCGGATGGGGCATTCAGGCATTTATAACTAAATTGATTTCTTTAAAATAGGTATCATTTTTCTTGATAAAACTAACTACGTAATTTATAAATGGCTAATAATAAATTAATATAATTTGTACCATTGTAACAAAGAGCTCCCATCTCGTTTATAAAGTTACTTGAATAACTTGAAAAAGATCATTCATACAACAAATGAAGACTAAAATGACGAAAGGAACATTTATAGAGACAAGCATTAAATGTACGTTTGCCTACCCCGTTAATAAATGGTGTCGTTGTTTGATTGACACAGCAACTGGCATTTGAATAGGCAGCAGAGGCACGACTCAATGATGTTTGAATAGATGGAGTGTTCTCATGTTTACCTGACATTGAAGTTAAAGGGAATGGGGGCTATATTATGTTAAAAGTCAATATTTCATTGTGATGCTCAATTAACATTGAAATAAAACCAAATTAGGGAGTAAAAGTTAATTTTAGTAAATAAGACAATGGACTAACAAATAAGTAAATAGTTTGGTTGAATAAACAAAACAGTTTACAATAGAAAAGATAGAAGATATTAGAATACGGCTGGATTCTAGTCTAATCTAAAGATACTTAATTGAAAAATCAACTCACAACAGCCTAGAAAAACCATAAAAATAAGATATTAATGAAATTTTGACTAAACGATAACAATTAAATAATATATAACTACTTTGCAGCTCTTTCAACTTTTCTGCTTGATTTTTTATTAGTGCATTCAACGTTTCTTTTTCTTTCTCTAGACTTCAATTTGTTAAAAAAAAATTGAAAAGTAAAACAAATTAAAAACTTGTAAAATTACAAAATTAAAAATCAATAAACAAAATACATATTTTTAAATTTAATGAAAATAAAATTAAAAAGAAATAAAATTGCCCCCACATATTAATCTGACTTTGGTAGAATTCTTTATTCTCATTCATAACAAGCCTCTCTCTGGCTACATTGAATTGTAAGCTGTTAAAATCCTTTATAATTAAAAGTAACATAATATTATTTGTTATAATTAAAATTATAATAATAATAATTTTTATAACTAGAATGATAATATTAATAATAATCATTAAGAACGTAACCTAAACCAGCTATTAATATTATTTAACTCTAAACCAGTTTTTTTCTAAAATAAAAATTTCATTTAATTATGTTTGTTCAACTGAGCAGAAACACTCATTTATTTCAAAATTAAATAAGAATAAAATAAAAAAATTAAAAAAAAGAAAAAAAACCTTAATGAGAATGTCCTGCAGCCATTTTAACTTTGATTTCAAATGTTCATTTTCAAGTTTGGATGCTTGCAACTGACAGAATAATAAAAACATTTAAAATAAAATAAGTAAAAATATAAAAACGCCAAAAAATCACAGATAATGATAGCATTAGCAACATCTATAACAACAAGACTGAAAAAAACTACAAAAAACATCAAAAATAACAACGATAATAAAAATAATATTATTAACTAATAAAATTATTATAAAACAATTAATTAATTAATTAAATTTAATTAAAACAACTTCTTGCTGAAGAATTCTAATGCCCTGTTTTTTTGATGTTAACTGTTGTTTTACAGATTCAAGTTCATGATTTAATGAATCAATCTCCTAAAATTATAAGAATTAAAAAATTATTTTTTTAAATATTAGAGATAAGATTATTTAATATTATAAACAATAAATAGTATAGTATAGTATAGGTTTAAAAACAAATGAAAGCCATTTAGGCAACTACTGACAACATAATTGATTAAAAAATTTGACTAAAAAACTTACAGAAAAGTGACCTGATGAATTTTTGCTTTTAAACAAACCATAGATCTTTCGCTCTGAAACTTTTGAATATAAATTGACAAAGCTGAGATTAAAAAATAGATAAACAAATAAAAAATAAAAATCAATAAAATGAATTATTAAATAATAATTATGATTAATTTTTATCAATAAAAAAATTAATAAAAACAGATCATTGCTTCTAAATAAGTTTTCTTTATATTATAATCAGTGAATAAAAATGGAAATAATCTATCTAAAAAAATACTGAGTAACTTCGAAACCAAAAATTACTTGAATGATTTTTGAGAGAATCTTCAAAAGATTTTGAATTTGATTTTCCGCCATTCACATTTAGAACTTCTTCAACTTTTTTTGTAGATCTACTACTAAACTCATCAGCATCTGAAGATGACGACGACATTTCACCATTTTTATCCCCATCAACGACAACAGAGTCACTGTTAGTGTTAGCGCAGCTGTCAAGGTTTGAATCCGGAAGGATTGAATCAGGAATGATTAGCGATCCAGGTTTCAAACCAAATCCCAATCCTAAATCACCGCTGTCGTACCTGTTTCGCGACATTTACGCAAAAAAATTTAACAAATTTTATTTAACAAATGTTTAAAGATAAAAAAAATCAGTAATTGTATTGATGTTGTTGTTGTTACTACTATTAAAATGGTGAATTTATTAATCGTTCATCGATCAAACGATGTCAAATTTAAAGCACGCTTTGTTTATAAACAATTAAATGGACAGGTGACTTTATTTACAAACCAAACTACATTAGCCTACATACATTTTCTCAATTTTCTTCACTAATTTCTAAAATTTAAAACATTTTTACGAAATTCTAAAATTTAAAATATTTTTTACAAATGATAAATTAATTTCTAATAAGAAAACTAGTATGTAGGGTAAAATTTATGTCAACTGAACTCATTCAACCAAGAGCAGATTAAAAAGAAAAAATGAATGGTATGACATTATATCACATTTATATGACGTTAAAATATCATTGAGAGATTTTTTTCTACTTGAATAAAGTTTCACCGGCAATATTTATAACAATTTAAAGGTGTCCATCCAATATACACTTGTATAATAATAATATAGATAGATATATATTAAGTATAGTTATGTATAAGCCATGAACAAAATGTTTTTACGACACAAGTGGTGTTTTTGCCTAATTTTCCTTCTATGTCAAGTCAAATGTTGAAAATTTTGTCACTAAAAATTTTTTTAAATGCTGGAAATCAGCAAATTATTCGATAAAAATATGAAGAGTCAATCAAGTACATGCACGAATCCAATATCCCATCAATTTTTAATTCGAATATTTAATTTCGTACACATAAATATTTAGTGTTTTTGTTAATTTCTTGTGCGTGGATCGGTTATATTTTACGAAAATATTATTTGTAAATTAGTATATTTTTTCATCTCAGCTAGTAAAAAAGGTAAAATTCGGTGTTAAAAATTTTGTTTGTTTGCAAAATTACGATTGTGTGTCCGTAAGATGTCTGCGTAAGCTTCGTTTTGTGGATTAGTTCGGACCGTTCCTATTGTAAGAAGATGAGATAGGAAGTTGATTTTGTAAGAAAGTAAATAAAACCGAAATAGGTACAACCATGCAAAACAACCAACTGTTTACAATTTTACGCTCCATACATTCGTTCATTTTTACGTTAAGTTTTGTGTTTTGTATACTTTCTGACAACATATTTTGTAATAGATAACTTTTTAAAATTGTAGGTGTTGGTGAAAAAGAGTTGTTTAAATAATTAATAATGAAGCCAGAGTCTGACAAGCTCAGTGTTTTATTACGGGATACAGTGCTACTTTTGTGTCGAAATGGATTCAATTACAAACTGAATATCAAGGTTCAAGGGTTGATAGGTATAACATTGGATGACCAGGAAATATTCCTTGTTCATTTCAACGAGCTGGTTGGCAAGGCTCCTCTTATCAGCAACGACACTGAAAAAGATGATAATGAAGATGTTGTTGTAGGTTTAAATTTTTTAATTGTTTATTTTTAGATTTGTACTCTGTTGATCAGCCATGTTGTCTTATTTTTATTACAGGTTGAAAAAGTGACTTATCAAGCTCGGCCGACAACTGATACAAACACTCACCAACCATTGAATAATTTCTATTACAATAATTCATCTGGCAGAAGAAGGCATCCAGGCAGAAGTCGAAGGCAAGCCAAACACAATCGCTCTGTACAACCAAAACCTATTGAAGAAGATAGTTCTGATGAATACATTAAAAATAATTTAAGTGAAAACCCTGATTACAACTGCAAGCAAGATAGTTACTGTTTTGTAGATGATATGGACAGCAACCTAACGACCAACATACCGCAGAATGAACACTTCATTGATCGACAGTCCTCCATAACAACCGCAGCTGATGCCACACTTCCTGCATCTTCATCCTCTGCTGTCATCATGACCAAACCTGAAAATATAAATGACGTCTACACAGATGTAACAACACAGTCAATGAATATTCTTGAAAGCAGTTGTATTGTTGGCAGTTCAGACTTCAACCTTGATAATTACAATTCTGAGAGTAAAAGTGATTTAGCTCTAGGGAATGATAATAGCATTATCAATGATGGCAACAATGAAAATGACAGTAACAACAACAACAACCCACTTTTCCACTCTTCACAACTCCCCATCAAAGAGGAGACAGATGAGATTGACTTCAACTTTGCCACACTCACAGAAACTGACTGCATTGACAACCTAACTGTTAGATATTTTTTATCAGTTATTATCTTCTTGTCATTAAAAAATATTTTTGCAGTTAGATACTGCCAAAATAAACTTCATAAATTGCTCATATTAGGTATACATAATAAGAAAAACATACTGCAAATTAAAACAATAATGAGTATCTGAGAAGATAAGTGATCATAACTTGTTATCTAAAACTTGTAATGGAAATTGTGAAAACAAGAGTCTAAAATTGAAACCAATGTTTATCATTTATTTGCATAAATTTATTTTATAATTGCTGCTGTGATTTTTTTCCATTAACATTCCTTCAGTGGTTATATCATTGTATCTCCCTAAAACTTCATAATAATTTCAATAATGACCTCTAATTTCAGTCAAAGCTTTCTCTATAAAGTTGAGGGTGGCTTTCAATTAGGATGTTCTCTTGTTAATATTATATCTGAGCTAATTGCCTAAGTTTACAGGATATGAAATGGACTAAATTTAATTAGTAGTATTATTAATATAAGCAGATTTTTCTTGCATATAATTTTTATCACCTTATGTACTTTACAGTAAATTTGTTATGATGGATATCACATGAAACTGAATGCTCTCAATTGAAAATGCAGCCCTGTTTTGTGTACAATATGCTCTACAATAGGATTAATTTCAATTTATTCATTCAGATATTTCGATTTTAATTATGTTATTTTCATTTCATGCTAGATTTTATTAATTCATTATTAAATAAGTAATCATTTTTAATCTAAGAATTTAGACTTATATTATTTGCAAAGGACTGAATAATATTTATAGTAGTGGCTAATGTAAATATTGCAAGAATTACTTTCATTAACATAGGATTAGCATGTTTGTTTAACTTTTTATGATGATGTTTGTTATATTGGCTATTTTCAGAATGTTCAAATGTATGGATCGAATTCGGCAGGCAATAACGACGACAACAATAACAATGGTGAGGATTTTGTATCTTATTCAAGTTATTCGCGTTTTATTGATTGCTGAGATAAATTCATTGCTAAAAATTTTTGGAGTTTATCGTTGCATTAACAATTCTTTCTAACTATCAAAATGTTAACTGGAAAATAAAGTCTAGTCAGGAGTTTATTTGCACAGAGTTTGAACCTATGGTTTCACATTTATTAAATTTCTTTCAAACCTTATTGTGCATGTCGCCCCAACATACTATTGACGTCGGTTTCACGTTGAAAAGATTGGTGTCATGATTGTTACAGTTTCAATTTTGTCTAATGACCTGAGAGTTGAATACTCAAACAAAAAATTCAGAGATTATATTTCGAATGAATTAGTTTGGCAAGCCTTGAAATATCTAATTCACCCAATTCAGAATCAAGCAGAGGTCGAAGGGCAAGGAGGTCTGGCCAAAAGTTGTACACGTGTGAGCACCCAAACTGTGGCCTATCGTTTTATCGTAGTTACACACTGTATAGGCACCAGAGATTGAAGCATGGTCAGCGTCTGGTGCCTCCAGTCTCACAACAAAATCGAGATGTCGAGTTTAGGTTGGTCCAGTTTAGATTTTCTTCAAAGTCTGATAATCTTATATACACATGCATTTGTTGTTGATACCTCAGAAAAATAATGAGTTAATTGTAATGATAATAATAAATGTTTCTACTCCAGGTGTGCCATTGACAACTGTGGACAGACTTTTTTCAGGGTTTCCACATTGGAGAAACATGAACGAGAATTTCATGGGTCAGTTAAGTTCAAAATATAATATAATTGTGTTGGTCATTTGGTCATAATTATATTATATTAGGCCAAGTATTTTTTTTATTTATTCGTCAATGCTATCTTTTTTATGTGAAATATTTATGTTGGGTTATGTGTGCATGTGTTAATTCGTTGGTAAAGCTGAAAGGTGAACGTTAAGCAGTCATACATTCAAATAACAGTCATACATTTGATGTACGCAAAAAATTTTCATAATAAATAATAAAATAAAGATAAATGTTAAGAGATTGTATCATGAAGGTAGTTGTGATTCTTCTTGCGTTTGAATGTGCTATTTTTATTTAATTTCCATATTAACTACCTATCTTACTTTCCGGAGCATGTAGTCTCTTAAAGTTGTCTCTGTCAGCAGCTGAAACGAGAAATTGAATATTTAATAGAAATTTTTTGGAAATATTATTTAAACGAATTTTTCAAGTATGATAACAATTTTATGCATAAAATTGAATTAGCTAAGCAATTAAGTTTTGTCATGAAATAAGTAGATGATACTAAATGTGATTCGTTTGTTTGTTTGTTCGTTCGTTTGTTTGTTCGTTCGTTTGTTTGTTTTTATCTTTTGATGAATTGAGTATTCAATAACATAACACATGTTCAATTTTTTCTTTTTCAGAATCGACAGCCTTCAACCACTCATGTCAGAGAACATTTTCACCAAACAATACCACCACAGCTCTCAGAGCAATGAGAACAATGAAAATTTATTATTTGAAGGTGTAGACTATTCCATGTTAAATAGACAAAACATGACTTGATTGCTTTTTCTTACTTCTTACTTTAATTTCATTTTTATCTTAAAAATGTTAACCTATAGACATTTTTCACACTGAGATAAATAGGCTGGTTATCTGTTTGTGAACCTACACCTATAAAATATCGGCCAATGGAATGACCGTACAAACTTCAGCGGTGGTGTTGCAAGCACTCTTTACCTTACTAATTAATTCATAATTTGGTGTTTGGTCAGTTTATATTATGCCCTTTCTGTGGTGAAAATTGTGATTGAAGGTGGTTTATTGTTTGATGTTATTGTTTGGGTCTTTATGGTGATGACTGACGTCGGAGGAAGATGCTATTTTTAAAATATTGCAACTTTTTAATTCACGTTAAAAATGGATTTAGGCAGCTTCAGATTTAAATTATCCTGTTTATTTATTTCAGTTTTAATGTTGAAAAATTTTTTAAATTAATTAATTTTGTTTTTACCATAGCTTATTCAAATTTGATAATATTTTGATTGCTTTGTTGACTCTGTAAATAACTGGTGGATGTGATTGATGACTGTAGATGATAGCAGTTTTTTTTATTCATTAACACTTCAACTCTAACACATTTTCTAATTAAGTTCTTGTTTCGTAAAAAAAAAATTCACTGGATCTACTCGTCAAACAAAAAAAAGTTGTATGCAATGATTGCTTTCATTTATTCTGTCTTGCTATGTAACTATGAAAATTTATGAAAATTATTTCAATTTTTTTCTTCTTTGAAAATCTTAATTCCTCCTCAGATATAGTTGCGTACCTTTTCAACTGTATTTAAAAATAATCTTCAACCCGATTTCAAATATTTATTTCATATCATTTGTACATTACCTTACCTGGAATATAATGATGGAAACATTTCATTTATTTTAATAAATTTAATTTTGCATAATCATAATTGTCGATGGGGAATGTCATTAACGACCAGATCAACTGCATCGGTTTTCAGTCTGCAGTCGAATTATAGTAACGAATTTGATTTAAAATATAGTATACTTTGAATGGTGGTAGTATTATACATATCCATGACTATAGTGTGTCTTTTGTAATACATAATGAAAATTCGATCGATTCAAGTTTCTATGTATTATCAAAACATCGGAATTTCCGTTACCGATTTTAACTTTTTATGTTCAGAAAATTGAGTACTATATGAGTTTAATAAAAAACTATTAGCTTAAATGTTATTATCAGCGCCGCATTCCACAAGAAATCGAACTATAATGCGTTTTCAGTATTACGCAAATATAACTATTCGGCCGATTCAATAGTAAACAGTGCGGACAAAGTTACTGTTAGCTAATTCACAAATAATGACACATGAAATAAGGTTCAATATGGAAAAAAATTTAAAGAAACAGCATTTACATTTGCAATCATTTCAATTGGAACTTGTCGCCAGCGGTTGGTTAGAAGGTAACGACGTCAAAATACTGAACGCTGACGACACGTTGAGTCCGGGGATCGATTCCAAGTGTTCTGGCATCTTCAGAAGACTTGATAATGTTTCACACGACGAAATATTTAACCTGTTTTGAAAGAGCTTCGAACAATCGACATTGTTTAAAAACATGGCTGGTGTTGGTATTGACTCCATTGTAAATAATGTTTGGCGTGTGTGTGTGCTTGCCTCATTAACTGATATTTTATACGGGGTTGTTAGTGCCTGCTTCATTTGCTGGACCGACGATTCATTACAGTTGCCGTTGTTGAGTTTCATTTGTTCGTGAGCGTTCGTGTTGTTACCGCTGCTGCTGCTGCTGCTGTTGCATTGTGTGCTCTGCTTTCTAAAGAGTTTGTGGCGAATCAGTTGTATGTTATTACTTTTTTAAAATCGCTATTAATTCCATTTATTTTTCCAATCTTTAAAAATAAATATGACAAATTGATGAATGAGTTTTGCTACCAGTTGAAACAATCGTTTAACGTGAATTTTTTAATAAAACGTTTGACGGATAATAATTAATTAATGTAATAACCATAAAAACAAATTCATCTTCCCAGTAGTCACCTGCGTTTAAGGGTACATCTATTTTCCTCAACGTCCGCACTTGTCGCATCGTTCTCATGCTTCGAATCTCTTGTTTTTAATGGATTTTCGTATGATTTTCTCTTCTTATTATTGTTCCCGCCCTGCTGGATGATGGGGGAATCATCTCGAGTTAATAGGTTGCCACTGTTCACGTTGTAACTCCCACCGTTGTTGCAGTTGCCATTCCTACCTGAACCTCCCTTACCCATCCTAGTTCCTAAAAGTTTAAAAGGTCAGCAATTTGACAAAAAAAATCTCATTATATTGGTAACGCATATTCTAAAAGTTGTTATGTCGCGACTAGCAGCCATTAAGATAGGCATGATTCACCTACTTCTACACGTTTGAGAGACCTAATGTAGCCACTTAAATATCGTCTTCGAAGTTTACGTGCAGTATGACAAACTGAGAAAAATAAATATATACAAATAAATGGATGAGGACAAAAATATCTAAACAGGAAGATACATGGTTGGATATAATATCATATAGGGATGGATAAGTTATAAATGGAGGTTGATGGTGTATACATATGTGTTGCCATGTTTCGTGTCGTTGGTATATTCGGGGAATATATATATGGATATGTCTTTGGAAAAGAAATAATGATAGAGAGACGAGAAAAAGAAAATCGTGGAAAAGATAAAAATAAATAAATAAATATTATATATATATATATATATATATAAAGAAAGAGAAAGAGAGAGAAAGTGAGTAAGAGAGGAAAAAATGCGATAGAGTGATTCATCAAAGGAGCAGACATTTAGTTATATTAGCCACTGATTAGAATTTAATTAATCGATTCCTTTGAAAATTATAGACGATTAGTGTCAAGCTATCGCACGATAATATATATATATATATTATATATTATATTATATTATATATATATATATATATATATATATATATATATATATATATATATATATATTGTATACTGTAAATATGTGTGTTTGTGTTTGTTTGTTTGTGTGTTTGTTTGTGTGTGCATTTCGTGTCATAGTGAATATTTAACTACGTTTCTCATTAATTGATAGATGGATGATTAAATGACTTGACGGCGTAATAGGATAAATTGATAAATAGTTTTTCTTGAGTGAAAAAAAATGATGAAAAAACAAACAAACTAAAAAAAACTTACAAATATTGAGTGTATATGTGTATGTATGTATGTATGTATGTATGTATGTATGTATGTATGTATGTATGTATGTATGTATGTATGTATGTATGTGTGCATGTGTGCGTGTGTGTGTGTGTGTGCCTTTTGAATGCTTGTCTAAGTGTGTGAAAGTGGTTGATTTTCATTGTATGTTTTTTTTATGTGTGTATAAGAATGCAGTCGTTTGTAAGCATTGGAATACATGTGTATGTGTCTATTTTTAAATGTCTAAAGAGAGGTGAAAGAAGAAAGATGAAAGAGAAAGAGAGAGAAAGAAAGAGAAAAAGAGTAAAAAGAGAAAAAAAGAGTAAAAGTATGAAGAGAGGGGTAGAATTGGAAAACAATCGGGTAATAAAAAAAATGACAAAGTTAACGTTGTTAAGAATGAGACACTTGTTCGATACATCCATTGAGATATATAACTAATATAACGAATGTGAATTCAATAAAAGACGCATAGAACACGCGCACAGAACGCAGAAAGTTGTGTAAGAGATTGAAAATTAAAATTTATAGAGCTCAGCCCATTGAGATATTTAGCGTCTTGATTATTTTCCACTTAGTGTATCAATGTATATAGCGGTTTATTTATTGCCACCGTAGAAATATACAGCCTTCTGGTAGTTTTCCTCCAATAAAACTTTTTCTGAATTGATTTTTAGCCATTTATTTTTGTCTGTGGTTTTTTTTGTTTATCCTTAAAAGACAAATTTGTCGTCGTCATTACGCAGTCACATCGATCTTAATCTGTTGTAATCTTAGAACAGACACTTGTATTTTTTTTTTCTCCAACACATAAATTTTATTTTTGAAAAAAAATAAATAACAATTCTAACTGGCAGGGTTAGATGAAGAGATTTAATTTATTATAGCAAAAAGTTGAACTGCACTCCTCTGAGCATAACAATCAAAAAACATAATGTAAAATAATGAAGTGAATACCTGATAATGAGCTATTTTCGCAATCATTCTTATCAGGAACAAGTTTTTTGGAGGGTGTGGATGAAGATGATGACGTGAGTGATGGGGCGGTGGTGATGGTAGTGGAAAGTTTTTTTTGTTGATCCATGTGAATCTCCCAGGCTATCTTCACGTGCGCGATCGACCAGCGAGTTGATTTTCGTTTCTTTTTTAACAATTTTTAAATTTTAATAAATTAATAAATTTTTGCCAAATCTCGCAATTTTTTAGTGTATAATTGATGAGAAAAAGCTATTAAATTATGGCAGGGTAGAAAAAATATTTTTTTCGTTATTCTTATTAACTGTAAATAAAGTCTGTATGGTCTTTTGGCTAACACACCATTTAATTTACGTCTTCGTAATATTTTTGAGAAACAAATTAGTAAAATTTGTTAAAGTGAAGAAAATTAGTACAACTTTTTTAGAGATTACAAATTTTTTGAAACATTAAAGGGAGGACTAACACACTGGTTTGCTCTTCGCTAAATGAAAGAAGACAAAATTTGTCGTGTATTCTAAGTCTGATATATTATGAATGATCCATTTTAACGTTTTGATTTCGCTTCTTATACTAAATAAGTTTAAATATTTTTCCTCAAACACATTGAAAATTATATTTAACAAATTGTTTCTTACATTACACACAAAAAAACAATAATTTTTAGATAATTTTTAGAACTTAAAGATTTCTGTCTGGGTCCTAAAGAGTTTGAAGGTATATTTAGTGATTCTTAAGTAAAAATTATTTTTAGACACAATTTCTACCGCCCATAATTTAAAAAGAATCTGTTACTTTGAAGGTATGTTTGGATCTGTCGACGTTTGAAATGCTTGGTGCCGGGTAGAATCCCATCGAGTTGAATAACGTATTGAAATTGGCCAGATAGTCCTGCGTTCGTTACGTGTTCATCGTTAGCAACAAAAATGGTGAACACTTTACAAAAAACGACAACAATAATAATATCAATGCGATGACAATAATAACGTCAATGTTATGATAATGTGATAATTGATAATGATATGATAATTTATGATAATTTATTATGATATAATAAATTTAAAAAATTCTACAACGTACCTTGGGACGAAATGCCCCTGCGACCAAATCTTTTTGAAAACTTCTCTCCGGCGTAGAACTGTTGATGGAAAGTTGAGATGGAAAGTTTTGGAAGAGGTGTCCAGGAGAGGGCGCGGCCATTGTGAGGTCAGCGTGGGAGGGCATGAGGTGCCGCTGTTCGGCTTGCAGGCTGGTCAGCTTCGAAGACGCTGGGTAGGGATTTGCTGAGTTCTAGGGGGTAAAAATTGTTTACGCGGTCATAATAATATAATAATAATAATAATAATATTAATTTAATGTTTTTAAAAATTTTGTATGTTTTTTTTTAAATTTTCAGTCCACAACATTTTATTTAAAAGAATGTTTATAGTAATTCACCAATCATTCATTCATTCATTCCATTCTCACGACTAATAAATTATAATTTAAAAATTTAAGGCTCAGTAAATCGTCTGTATGAAAAAAAGTATTTATAAAAAGAAATAAAATTTTTATATTAAAAAGACAGAAAACAACAACAAAGAAGCAAGTCCTTCATACAACAAAAACGTGCGAAGAAGAGATACAAATCACTCGCACCCATCACTGTAGCAGATACTTTCACGAAGGTACACTCAACATACACCACTAACATACACACAGACAGATAAACAAACAAGCACACACACACGCAGACACACTCATGAACGTTATAAAGAAGAGACAAATCTCGGAAGGATTAGGCATGTATTTTATGTGCGCCGGTCATCTTAGTGGGGATTTTCCCGGATAATCCAGAGCACTATCTGTGGATTAATACTCATTGATTATGGCTTGTAAAGGATTTAAGTAGGGGGATAAATGAACAAGCGGGAAGATGAACGTACGGATGGAGGTGGCGATGATGACGACGATGACGTCAACGATGACGATGACGACGAAGATGAGAATGACAACGATGATGATGATTTTTAGGATTTATAAGGAGGATAAAGACTTTAACGATAAGAAAATAAATGTGGTCAAATTGGAATGATGATGATTGTGATGGTAATGATGACCATGATGATGATGATGATGATGATGATGTTGATGATAATGATGATGATGATGATGATAATGATAATGTGATTATACGGTGGAAATGATGATGATGGTGGCGATGATGATTTGAACAGCAGTACTGATGATGCTGTGATAATAACGTGGAAGCTGTTATTAAAAATGATGGTGATGAAATGATGTTAAAAACGATTAAATAAAACCATCGCTTGAGAAAATGATGAAGAAGATAGCGGTGATTAAGAAGATGATGAAGATGATAATGATGACGATGATGAAGAAAATGATGAAGATTATGATGATGAAGATGACGATGATGATGAAGAAGAAGATGATGATGAAGATGGTGATACGAAAAAAATATATACGACGATGATGACGATATTGATAATGATGATATAAATGATGATAAAAATAGAATAATGATGACGGTGATGACGATGATGATGCGCTAAACAAAAACTTGAATCTTTCTTCAATTTAAAATATTTCATTTTTTTCGCAAATTCAATTTGAGAAATGATAAATAGAAATATGTGTATATGTCAAACAGAAAAAATATATTGTATACACACAGATACACACAGACACCAGACACAGACAGACAGACACACACACATACACACGCACAAACAGAGAAAGAGAAAAAAAAGAGAAAGAGAGAGACAAACACACATGCACACAAACACACATATACCCAAATAGTATATCCATTTTTCATTTGAACTTTGAACCTTAACATGACCTCATTTGAAGAGTTCATGATCTAGTGCGACCTATTATTTTCGCACTTTTATATTCATCTTTATGTCTGAATGCCTGTGCAATCATTTCAACGTGTGCATCTATGTATCTCTATATTTCCGATATATAGGCACAATTTTTTTTCTGATTTCTCTTAGTCGATAAATTTCTCATTCATTCGTTCGTTCGTTCGTTCGTTCGTTCATTCATTCATTTATTCATTTATTTATTTATTTATTCATTCATTCATTTATACATACATACACTCAATCATACATTCACGCACAATTTATATGCGTATCTATTTGCTCATTTGCTTACCCAAACATTCATTCAATCATTCACTCATTCACACACTCACGTATTCATTCACCAAATTCATTCATTCACTCACTCACATATTCATTCACCAATTCACTCACTCACTCATTCACTCACTTACTCTGTTTATTCATTCACTGAGGCGGTAACTCGAAGTAATAACGTAGAGTCAGATGAATGAATGGACAGGTTTTCTTAATGGTTAATTAGTTTTTGCTTCGTGTGGCGTTTGTCGTTGTTGTTATGTTGTTGTGTTACCGTTGTTGCTGTTGCTGTTGTTATGTAGTTGCTGCTGACGTGTTTAAGTTTCGCCTCCCGTCAAATTTGTCTGGATCCGTCCTTGAATACACGCACACACATACAAAGACAAACACACACACACAAAGTCAAACACACACACAAAGTCAAAAACACGCACATACACGCATGTAGAAGATTGCCGACTTAAGCTGAAATATGCCACGTCTAAATGACGTAGCGACTAGATTAACTTTTAAGAGGGGTGCTTAAGCGACGCACATGCTTGCACGCACACGTGCACGCAACGTACACGCGAACGCACACACAGTTGCTGAGGTATACACGCACACACGCATACGCACACATTCATTACCTTCCACATGCACAATTGTATATGCAGTTTAGTTGAAAGTTCAACAATATACACAGAAATACATGGTTATGTGTATGTCTGCAACTAATTAGTTTCAACTTCGATCTAAGCAAATTGGACTGATTGGTAGAACATAGTCATAATTTCACGACTGTGCTACATATTTATATTAAAATGTAGAGACACGCAGTTTTTGTTGCAGGAGCGCACTAGGGCGTTGTTTCAGTTGTTGCGGTGATGTTGAAAAAATGTTGAAGCAGTGTTGTGACGAAGAGGGCGTTCAATTGATGTCATCTTGTAAAATGACGTCAACGATGACATCACTGACGTGCAAGTGTGGAAGTCGGTCATTCAATTTTGATCGCCACACACACACGCAGGCGACGGCGGCACTGGCCACTGCACCATGGCACAGTTTGAAGCGTGCACACTTACATACGCTGGTCGTCGTTAAGTCTGCTTATCTGATGTAAGAAGGAGGCAATGAGAAGGATTTTTCTCGTTACTGTTGTTTGTATGGAAGTTGTTTGTATTGTTGTTTGTTTTGTGTTGCTGTGCCGTTGTGGTTTTATTGCATACGTTTTGTTGCGTTAATTATGTTTTGTAGTTAGGTGTATTAGTAGCTTATGTTTTTTGCAATGAAGGAAGTTGAATAAAAAATTCTTGTCTGCTTCTAAAAATTCCAAAATTTTCAACCGTGATTAATACTTAAAGTCAGAAAATCCAGGGAGTTGAAACAATAAAAATGAAGCACTTTAAAATGGAAACATCATTCGTCATTTTTCCAAACGTCATCATCACAGCAATTTATGATGACATCATCATCATCATCTGTGGTGACATCATCATTATCGTCGTCACCTGTAATTTGTATTTGTATTTGATGACTTGTAAAGCGCCCCTCCAGAATGACATCAGACGCGCTATCATCGCTGTGGATTGTTGAATAGATGATTTTTTAAACGTTTCTTGAACATCCGTCGATCCTTGCCGCTGAATCTTTTCAGATCTGTTGGCAGTGCATTCCAAATTTGAGCTGACGACACCGAAAATCTTCTTTTTCCAATGCGTGAAGATTTGTGCTTTGGGATTACGAGATCTTCATTACCAGAGGATCTTAATCTGTTTCTGTTTGTAACCTGGGATACTGGTTGGAGCTGCACTCTCAGATAACATGGAGCCTCGCCGGCCAGTGAATCTCTGACAAGAAGAGCCAATTTAAACAAAACTCGTTCTGGCATACCGGCATACGAAGCCAGTGCAACTCATCTCGGTAATGACTTCATCATCATTGCCGCCATACAACTATTATCATCATTATCATTGTTTCGTCATCGTCATCAACAACAACAATTATCATTATCATTTTCGTCATAATAATAATAATAATAATAATAATAATAATAATAATTCACATCCTCATCATCATAGTCGTCGTCATCATCATCATTATCACCACCATCATCACCAACACCACCATTGTCATCATCATCATCATCATCACAACGACAAAACGGAAGTAATGACCATCAGTTTGACTTAGTGAATAATTACCAAAAAACATAAAAATAAAAAAAATAATTTCAGAAAAACGCTGGCAGGGAACAAATGATCGGCAGTATGAAATGTTTATTTAGGACAAATTACGAAGCCTATTCATCTCAATAAATAATAATTTCACTCTATTTTGAAATCTGTAAAAGCGCAAACGAAAATTTAATGAAAATTTTTTTTTATTTTTCGAAAAGAAAAAACCGTTTAAATAAAATTTTCTGTCAATTGATTCACAAATTTTTGGATATCATAAAGTTTGCTTTTAAATTATAAAAATATTTTGTAACGAATCATAAAAACACGTTATAAACAAATAGTTAAGTCATTATCAATCATTTAGTAAGCAACTGACCTACTAATCAATCAACCAACCAGCCAGCCAACCAACCAACAAACCAACCAACCGACCGACCGACCGACCGACCGACCGACCGACCGACCGACCGACCGACCGACCAACCAACCAACCAACCAACCATCTAATCAATCATTGAACCAATCAATCATTTAAATCACCAACAACCCCTCGAATCATATAATAGCCACAACATCTCACCAATATAGACTGCAGTACGATGGAGTGTGAATTGGCGAGAGGTGACAGGAAGGGAGGAACAAAGTTTGGTGCCCCTGGAAAGTAGTGGGATCCCAACGAGGGTGGAGGGGGTGGATTGGATATGAGAAGGGGATTGGAGAGTAGAGATGGTGATGTGACCTGTAAGAGGCGCTCTTGTAAGAATCTATGGTTCAATTCCTGGTGTGCCCTAGCCAGAATTTCTGCAGAGGAGCAATAAAAATGTTAAAATGATTGCTCTTAAAATTAAAAATTTTTTTCAAACATAAATGTAACTGCACAAACAAGTAGACGCAAACATTTTACATACAAAATCATGTGTAATTTAAATCTTCATTAATTTTTATGGTTTGTTTTTTCCGTGCAAGTGCCTCAACGTACAATCGAAACGACAGACCAACCAAAATAAATATATAAATGGTACATACAAAAATACCCATTCATACAAGTTGTTTTTTAAAACGTTTATAAAGGAAAGTAAAAAAAAAACATGAAATCTTTCTAATTAGCCGACTAATAAAACATACATTTGAATTTAAATGCATGTGTGTGTTGTCTAATCAACATAAAAGAAACTTTTCACAAATACAGACGACACAACATGTACGCAAATAAACACGTGAACATACGCAAACACATACAGGTAAACACACCGAAAAACACTCTAAGACATTACACACTACACATTTACACAGACCGACACATAAACACAGACACACGCAAACACATACACACACAAACATACATGCATACATATACATTCACACACACACACACAGTCATATATATATATATATATATATATATATATATATATATATATATATGTTGGTAATAGACCATAAAATATGTATGTATATATATATATATATATATATATGTATATATATATATATATATATATATACAGAGAAACACACACAAAGAAACACAGTTATATAAAAATACAGACATACACAGGCAGACATACATACGCAAACATACAGTCATACAAACACAGACAGACAGAAAGACAGACAAAGAGAAACTTACTGGCAGGTTCTTGAGGGTCTGCATAAGTATGGAAGGAGTGCAATGGAGAGGACAGTGAAGAGATGATGCTATTCATGGGAGGAGCAAACATGATGACAATGATGACGACGGTGATGAGGATGTTGTTGTTGATGCTGCTGCTGATTATTTTGTTATGATAACTAAGATGAAAATATTCGGTTAGCCGAAGTTCAAAATGATGATTACGACATCGATGGTGGCGACGATGATGATGACAAAGACGATGATGATGACAGGGATGACGATGATGAAAATGATTTTAATAATTATAACGTCACGCCCATAATTATGCTGAAGAGAGCAGTGATGACGTCATCGAGATTGCCTCCGCAGAAATGAAGATGCCCGACTGTCTCTTTTTGAGGGACTCTGAAACATTTAGTAGTAGTAGTAGTTAGTAGAAGTAGTAGTAGTAAGTAGTAGTAGTAGCAGTTGTAGTAGTAGTAGTTGTTGTTGTAATAACATTAGGAGTAGTAGTTAGTAGTAGAAGTAGTGGTTAAAGTTGTAGTAGTAGTTGAAGTTGTAGTGGTAGTAGTAGCGGCAGCTAGTAAAAATGGTTTAGAAATAGAGTTCAGACGATAAAAATACTCACGTAACTAAATAAATATTTCTCAAAATAACGTCTTCTAGATCAAAATAAGCATTTCGAGTTATAATTTAGACCGCTATTTTCAAAACTGCGAACGTGTTTTCCAGATGAAGCAATTTGTTTGTATTGATATACAAAGATGGTATTAATGGATGGAGTAAGTAAGGTGCTCATTCCATTCTTTCCTTTTCCTATTAAATCACATGATTGTAGCCAGAGGCTATCGTGTATGTGGGTGTCTGTGTGTGTGTGTGTAGATTTGTGTGTGTATGTGTGTGTGTGTGCATATACGCGTGTTTTTTCTGTATTACAATGCTTGTTGATTGTGCTGTACTACAGCTACTACTAATAAAAGTGGTGGTAGTAGTAATGGTAGTAGTAGCACTAGATGTAGTAGCAGCAGTAGCAGTGGAAGTATTAGCAGCAACGGTATTGATTTGATTATAGTACTTTAATTCTATCATTTGACGATCGTTAAAAAATCAACAATGGTACACACTGAAATAACTGTATCAGTAGATGGAATTTTCTCTTTATTATTATTATTATTATTGTTATTGTTATTATTATTATAACCAGTGTTATTGTTGATGTTATTATTATTTTATTGTTATCTCTAGTTAGTTTTATTCATGGTATTTATCAGTAATAACATTGCTATTTTGTTTTTGTTGGTTTTCCTTCAAGCCTAATTAGAGTATTTTTTGTTAAAAATAATAATGCGGTAATAATAACAACATCAATAATATTAATAATAAAAATAATAAATAATAAAAAACATTCATAATAATAATTTCGATACTACCAATAATTTCTAAGCAAGCGTGAAAACCTTCGAAATGCGTCCAACAACATAAACATAAACCTGCAACACTCATAAACAAATCCATACACACTCACAAACGCACGCACATACACGCACACACACACACACTCATACACGCACACATGCACGCACACACACTTCTATCCTATACATTCATCTACAGACATACAAATGCATCTTATTTAAACACACAACAGTTATCACGGTACAAGCTCTCGTTTATACTAAAAACATTCACCCAAAATTTGACTTTGGCTTTGTCCATTTTGAAAGACCAAAAAGCCAAACATTTTTTGTTTAAGTCAAAATTTGTTTGAGTGCTCGAGCAATAATTGTTGAATATTATTAGCGAAAAACTTATAGCTTTTAAAACATGCGATTTTAAGCAAAAGATTGAATATTGACTTGATAAAGAATTGAGTCGCCTTCCCGCCTCCGTTTCTTTCAATAGCTTATTTTGATTCTAAAAATTAAATTTTTTTTTAATTTTACATTTTTTGTGTTCGGCCTTCGGCTTCAAACAAACAAACAGCGTATCAACTATTCGGCTTAATTCACTATTTGAAGCATTACTTATTCAAGCATATGTACAGTACAGTACATACAACATGTACAAAATTGCAATTATTCACATACACGCATAATTTGTTTAACACAAGGTTATACCACAAGTAACACGCAAACACCCACACATAAAGACACAGCCACAAACACACACAAACTCACAAATAAAGACATAGCCACAGACAGACTCTCTCATGTAAAGACACAGACACACAGACTTTCTCACATAAATAAGCAGACACCCACAGACTCTCACACATAAACACACAAGCACACGTTTTATTATTATTTGCAACGATATAAAAGACGTTCTAATGAAATCTTCAGCATTGATTTAGCGTGAAATTGCACGATCATGTGCAGTCTTGCGCAAGCTCTGTGCATGTTTCCGAACAAATTACTGCCTCTCTGTCTTTTTCCCTGCTTGTCTCTTGTTCTGTCTGTCCGCGTCTCAGTCTGGTTGCAGGTTTGCTTTTTTGTTTCTTTGTTTTTGGGTCGGTGCCTGTTCCTATGTTTGTCTGTATGTTTTGTTTTTTAGTTGGTCTGTTTTCAATCCGATTTCACTTTGTCTGTGTCTTTTTGCTACTGTGGCTAGCTGTCTGTGTTTCTCTTTCTAGCGGCCACGTTGAAAAACATATAATCAGGTTTGTGGTATTACTGGGAATATTTGCATCAGTAGAACGTTACTACTCTCAATATGCTACTGCAATGCTACATTACAACACATATGAATTGGTATTTATAAAAATAAATTAGTAACTTTGAAACTTTGTAAAAACAATTTTATTAAATTTAAAAAAAATTAAATTATTTTTAATATATTCGCCCAGCGCGCCACGGCGGATCTGGGAGGGAGGGAGGGAGGCGGGAATGAACCTCCCACCGGACCTTGAAAGATGAAAATATTGAAGATCTCGTGGAAGTAAAGGTTCATCAACTTAACATTTTGAAAACCATCCTCTTCCGGCAATTAACGGGAACGAAAATTAATGGAGTAAAAGTGTAAAAAGAGGATCACCACTTTTAGAATTTTGAGAGCCATCCCAATCCCTATCGCGAAAATCCGGAACACTGTATCCATTTAACGATAAGGAAAATAAAAATAGACCATTAACAACAAATGCTATTTTTCAGTAAAAATCATAATAAATAACAATCATAAAAACAACAACGACAATTAAATTAATGGTTTTAATAATAATATTAACAACAACAACAACAACAACAACACCACCAACAACAACAACAACAATAATAATAATAATAATAATAATAATATATAAATGATTGAATGCATGCTTAAGTGCATTATACTCGAGAACCAAGAGAAACACTTATAAACACAAGAAGCCTCTATAGATGACTCTTTGATGAGCGTTCAATTTTTCACCGTACATACGCACACACACACACATACATACCGGCATACATGCATGCATGCATGCATGCATACATACATACATACATACATACATACATACATACATACATAGATACATACATACATACATACATTCATACATACATACATACATACATACATACATACATACATACATACATACATACATACATACATACATACATACATACATACCGGCATACATAATCTCTGTAGTTATATAGTGGGATAGTTAAGATAATGTTTACGACGATGATGAAGACGACGACGATGATGATGAAGATGACGATGATGAAGATGATGATGATGACAATGATGAAGGTGACGATGTTACATATCATAGATGAGTTTGAAAATAGTTATGTTAATTTGGTCTTTAGTTAGTGCTCACAAGATAAATACGATGTTAACGCATGGACTATAAGGATGATGACGATGATGATGATGAAGACGATGTTGTTGTTGTTGTTGTTGATGATGATGATCACGATTACGATGTTGAAGATGATTATAATAAATACAGTAAAAATTATAGCCTTTATGATAGTAATAATAATAACAATAATAATAACAACAACAACAATAATAATATTAATGATTATGATGACGACGACAACGACGATGATGATAATGACAATGATGATGACGATGACGATGATGAGGATGATGATAATGATTGGAATTGCGGAATAAGGGTTGTCAAGTGGTTGCTGGAGTGTCATTCAGCTGGAGTGGTGCTGGTGTGATGATGATGACGACGATGATGACGACGATGATGATGACGACGATGATGATGATGGTGATGATGATAGTGATGATGACGATGACGATGGTGATGGTGATGATGATGATGATCGTTCACGTCATCATTGTTGAACTTCCATCATTATCGAATCATCGCAATCAGATTATATCAGTGATATAAATAATAAAACCAACATCATCGTAATTTTTTGTCATCATCATCTTCATCGTCGTCATCATCAGCCTCCTCCTCTTCCTCTTCCTCCTCTTCCTCATCGTCATCATTATGGTCATTGTTGTCGTCGTCATCATCAACATCATCATCATCATCGTCATCAACATCATCATCATCAACGTCGTTGTCGTCATCATCATCATCACCATTGTTATCATCCCCTTGATTACGTCATCATCGTAATCATGTTCACCGCAATCATCATCGTCGTCGTCATCAGCACTGAGCAGCCAACCACACACGAGCAAACTGTCACATGATACAAAGAAGCAGGGAGGCATGGATTGCTGGAAGCAGTTTGTACTTCCAATAAGTCGGATTAAATGTTTGGTTGGAGACGTGCCACGACTGCCAACCATCAAATTATCTCATTTGTGCTATGCTATGCTGTGCTGTGCTGAGCTCTCCCTGCTGCGTATTGTTTTACGTGCTGTGTGTGTGTGTGTGTTGTTTTACGTGTGTGTGGTTTTATGTGTGTGTTGTTTTATGTGTTGTGTGTGTTATTCTACGTGTTGTATGTTGTTTTATGTGTCGTGTGTGTGTATGTGTTGTTTTATATGCCGTGTGTGTGTGTGTGTGTTTGCGCTGACAAAGCAGAAATTTGTGATCCTAAATAAACCGATACATGCTCGCATCAGTAGATTTGTTATAAGCATGTTATCCTTGTTCTTACGTGCGTGCATGCATGGATGAGTACGTGTGTGTGTGCAGAAAATCATATTTGTTTATATTTGTGTATGTTTGTTCATGCTCACGTAGTCTTCCGATAGCTTTGTTGTTTATTGCCGCTTATTTGTTTTATAATTTTGAGTTTAAATGTATTCAAATGTTTGTTTCAATTTTGATCGTGTATGTGAAATTTTATTAAATATTCTTTATGAATATTAAGCATTATTTTTAATTTTATTACTAAAATAATTTTGAAAAAAATATATAAAAAAAATGTACTTGTTTAAGAGTTGAACGATTCCTCTTCTACCATAATAATAAAACGACAAAAATATTTTTTTTAATTTAAAAATCTCAAAAATTTTATGTAATAAAAGTATCTAGTGAGATTTCAGTGTAAACTATGTTTAAAATAAAAATATTTACATATTTATGAATTAAACAGAAGAAATAAACTGTATATTAGTTTATGATTATTAAGCGAAAATCGAACTTTAAATGTTGTCAATTTGAGAGCAGTTTGATTGTCACCTCAAATGAACAAAACCAAACAAACAAACTAGAAAAAATACTTACGATATTAACTTGAATTTTAAAATATGATCTGAATATATCTAAATTATCATGGATAAAAATAAATGATAATATACTATTTAAAAAATAAAATGTGTTTAAATTACAGAGTATAACAAACAACCAGCTTGTCTATAACGAGTATACATACAGTCCAACTAATTTTATTTTATAGTGATGTTTCTTCCTACATAAGTTCATCACGTACAAGCGCTCTAAGGATGCAACTATTATACAAATCATTCATTCAAACGCGTATATGTATGCATGTATACATGTAACTGGACATATACATATTGAAAGGAGACCATATATATATATATATATATATATATATATATATATATATACATATATATATATATATATTATTTTATTTAGATATTATTTTCATTCCAATCATCCTTAATAAATTTAATAGCAGTGTTGTTCTCAAAACTTCTTCTAGCAGCATGATTGTTTGGAAGTGTTGGATCGTTGGATTGTTTGAAACTGCACCTATTTGCTGGCCATTATTTCATTTCAACACGTTTGTACTGAAATATTTTTTTTAATTCTTCATTAATCAGGGACGAAGACAAAATTTTTTTATTAAGAAACAGTCACAAAACAAAACGAATATGAAATGAATAAGTCTGCGTTCTAGTCCGAATTAAAAAGGTACAACTACACAATAACGCAGCTAGGCAACTACGACAAACAACAAAGTACACGCTATACAGTACAAGAAACTTCCTCCACATCTCTAGGAAAAACTTTTCTTTTTTCCACATGCACCCACGTAAACACTGGAACCCTGCCATCTCGTCAGCCATTTAAGAACACACTGGAAAATACGATGACGTGGATTATACAAAACATGCATTCATCATTTCATTTTTCTGGACAGATGTGCGAAACAAAGCATCGTCAGGCGGCAGAGGTCAAGTGCAGAGTGCAGAGTTCAAAGTTCAACACGTGTATTGTCAGTTTGTCTGTTGACCCGAACACTTTGCAAAGCGAACAAGCAATCGAATAACGAGTTGGCACACACTCACTCACTCATTATTTTCCCTTGTGATTATGCTTCTCTTCATACAGCTCTTTAGTAAGCGGCATAAAGATCTGATGAAGAAGATAGTGAACGCGAAATAAAAAACAAAGTAAGTTTAAAATTTCATTTTTACACACGCGCACTAATACAAAACACGTACATGTTTGTAGGCGTACGCACACACACGCACACACATAAACGAATATGTAAACAAAAGATAGACAGAGTAACACGTGAACACTCTTTATATTCAATCAACACGCGGCAATTATTGCTTTAACAGCCGCAACACATATCAAACCATCAATCTCCTCACGATGTACGTACACGCACATATGTGTGTATGTATGCGTGTGTGTGTATGCGCGTGTGTTTGAAACTGTATACGCGAATGTACGTATATTACTTTGTGTGAATTTTTCTCAGTTGAAAGTTGTCTACAATTGTGTGTACGTGCGTATATGTGAATGGATGTGTGCAGTGTATCATTCTTTGTGTGTGTGTAGCTTTGTATTTGAGGTAAAGATTTTGTTTGTTTGCATACTGTGATTGTTTTTATAAGGTTTCTAAACACACGAAGTCACGTGTGTGTACTTTGTCTCACCTCTCGCTAATCCAATTCATCGAATTCAGTTCGACTGCTGTGCGAAATGTAAAAATTTAACGAAATTTGTAGAAAAATTGCAATCAACGAGCGATAATAATGATAATTAACATTTTAACTCGAAAACAACAACACTCGCTAAATAATTTCAATTTATTTTATTGCCAACAAAATATTTTTTCCATGACCTAACGAACATCCAAAACAGCCGGAAAAAGATGGCAAATGAGCTGAGACGGGCGATAAAAGATTTTTGTCGTCTGCAAATTAGTCTGATTACCAAATTATTAGGAACTCAATCCATGTCCGCCTGTCCGTCAGTTGCAAGCGTCTTCACGCACACGCACACACATACATACGCACACACATACATACGCACACACATACATACCCACACACATACATACCCACACACATCCATACGCACACACATGCATTGAAATGTATGCGTGTAGCTAGCATAAGTAGAAGCAAATAAGAAAACAATTAAATAGATAAATATATAAAGGAATAGTTGAATATGAAGAGTTCTGAATTTAGAATATTATGTAAAAAAGGCAATAATTAAGTTAGATCGGGCTTACTCAATCGTATTTTCTATTTTAATTCATATACTAATGTTATTAGAGGCAACAAAATGCAATATTTAGGCATTTTATGAGTCACAGAAAATTCTTTCCAAGTTTCACGAAAATTCTATGAATGACAAGATGGACACCGGGCAGACCTATGCAGATGAGAAGCGTTTGGCTTTTCATAGTCCAAACCAGATCCAATATTGTTTGGCAATGCAACAAATACCATGGGTTTATGAAAACGTTATATAAATATCACCTCAGGTGTAAATGTTCTCCAGTTTTTTTACATATAGATTTTTATTTTTATGATCGAACGTCAGCGTTAGAAGATATAGGACGAGTTTTTTAGTTTTTCGTTTTTCAGAACGTTACAAACATTAAGAATTGATACTACAAACAAAGTTTCAAACCGTTCCCTACGACAAAGTTGAAGTAGCGAAACAAAATCACAAAAAATTTTTTTTAATTATTTTTTTACCAAAAATTAACGATCATTAAAAAAAAATTTTCAACCAAATAAACAATTTCAACTACAGGTTAATAAACAACCTGCAAGTATTTGTACTGTAAAGCTGACAACGTCAACGATGACGATGAAGACGACGAAGACGACGACGATGACGATGAAGATGACGACGACGAAGATGACGATGATGTTGTTTTTGGTGAAAATGATTGCGACGATGACGATAAATTTTTCTTATAGCAATCCAAACTACAGAGAGGAGCGTTCGTTTTAGAGCAGCGGTACCTCTTGATGTTCATACAGCCGTCGACAGAGCAGTACATAACTGGCTTGGGTCTGCTCAGATTAAACATTATAAATGTACTATGGTTAATATTTTATAGGTGAATTATACGATTCTTAGATTAAAAAACTTTTTCTAAATAATAAATAAAATTGAACAACAAACAAAACTATTTTATTGTTAACTATTTAATCAATCAATCAATCAATCAATCAATCAATCAATCAATCAATCAATCAATCAATCAATCAATCAATCAATCAATCAATCAATCAATCAATCAATCAATCAATCAATCAATCAATCAATCAATCAATCAATCAATCAATCAATCAAACAAACAATCAACCAACCAACTAATCAATCAATTATCCAACCAACCAAATTAACCAACCAACCAACCAATCAACCAACCAAACAATCAATCAATCAACCAACCAACCAACCAACCAAATTAACAATGATAACTAAATAATGAACAGACCCGAGCGGTGTCTTAACGTCGAGAACTGATTGGAAACCATCAGGTATGAAAATTGATGTTCCGCTGACGTTGTTTAAGTACCTTAAATACAAATGTGCCATTGTACAAATACAAATGAAATAATGAATAAATGAATAAATGAACGGATGAATGAATGGATGAATGAATAAATGATTGAATAGATGAATGAATAAATGAGCAAAATTCAACTAACCAAATTACGACATTTACGATAATAATATTAATAATAATAATAAACTTATTACAACATAAATAATGAAGAAAAACACAATCATCACTAATATACCATTTATCATCATCGTCGTCGTCATCATTTTTTCTTTATAAATTTTTTTAAAATGTATCAACACACACACACACACACACAAACACACGCACACACACACAAACACACACACAGAGTGAATCTAGGCACCTTAACACATCGCACATAAGCTGGGGATAGCATAACAATCGCCTCAATCCCCCGTCTCACCATTCAAAATGAAAATTAATCCCAAATAACCTGTACATGGGAATTTCGTTTGTCACTTCTTTGCTTGTCAGAGTCACACTCTAGGACATAATAAAGTCACATGGTACAATTATCAATGAGGAAGATATCTCAGATACTATCAGTACTAATACTACAGCTACTAATGATGTAGTAATTATTTCAGAATAAGATTGAAATGTTTACTCGTCAGTGACGTTTTAAATGTGGTTCAATTCAATTTTTGCTTAATTGGCTAGGGTAGCGAAAATTAGACTTCGTCTTGAAATAATTCGCAATAAACAATTATTTATTAGGATGAATTATTTATTATAATTATGTTAGTAAATATTTAACTTTTTATGAATGAATTAAAAATGTACTTGAACCTACCTTGACAGATTTCAACTTACTGTCTTGTTTCTTCAGCAGTTTGTCTAAGGTTATTTTCTATTGTACATAAAAAAACATTTAGCTTATTAAATTACTTGCAATAAAGTTAATGAGAAATATAAATTTAAATTATAATCCTAATTATTTTTAATTTAACTTGTAAAAATTTCATCATCGTCGTCATCGTCACCCCAATTTTCTTCACCACCATTATAGTCACCACCACCATAGTCGCCATCATCGCCACCACCATCACTACTTTATCTTTTTCAGTTTTCTCAGCAGCCAGCTGTTTCCTCCTCATCGCCTTCTTCTTCCTCTTTAGCATCTGTTCTTCAGTCAGTTCTGCTGGCTGAACTGTAGACATATATATCTTTTTTAAATCCAAATTTTAATCCACAAAAAAATAAATTATTATTATAATTAATTACCATTTCAAGTGTAATTGTAGTAGAAGTAATGGTAGTAGCGAAATTGGCAGCAGTTGTAGTAAAACGGCAGTAGTATTAAAAGTAGCAACAATACTTGTTGCAGTAACAATATTAGTTGTAGTAATAATGGTAGTGGTACTAACTTGAGGACAATTCTGTCAACGTTTCTGACCTTTCGCCATGAAGAAGAGCCTTCTGTGTAACAAATATTTACTTAAACTCTTTTATCATTATCAATTAATTAATTAATTAATTAATTAATTAATCAATAAATCACACGTATGTAATCACACAAACATTTTAATGAGCAGGTAAGGATGATAACTGTGAGAATATAAATTTTTGGGATTGTTGCCTTTGTCAGTTTTTGAAAGTATGTTTGGGTGTGTTGCTGTTTTCTGTGTGCGTGTATGTGTGTGTGTGGATGTGTGTGGGTGTGTGTGTGGATGTGTGTGTGGGTGTGTGCATGTGTTTGTATGTGTGTCAACCATGTTTATAAAAAAAAAATAACATATCATAAACAATTAATAATAATAATATAAATAAATAGTAACAATAATTAACAAATAACCACAACTAAATAACCACAAAATATCCGAACATACAACCTGTCTGGCAGTTAACACCTTCATATTCTTATCTGACCTTTTGACCTCTCCATTGTCGTCCAGCTGACCTAACTCAAGGGCGTCTAGCCATTTTCTTTCCTCATCTGATGACTCATATTTGTTGCTGTTGTTGACGTTGTTGATGTCGTCATCAGCGTCATCATCGTAATCGTCGTCCTCATCATTAATTTGGTTGTGATTGGACGTGATTGAGTGGTGGTATTGCTTGACGGTGGTGATATCAATGCTATTATCATTTTCATCATCATCCTTATTTTCATCATCATCGACGTCATCATTTGTGTTGTTGTTGCTACTGCCAGTGGAGTTGCTGTTGTTAACGTTATCGTCATCATCATCGTTGTTGTTGTTGTTATCATCACAAACCAAAACTTCTTCGTAGTTGCCAGTGTAGTTGTCGTACATATCATCCATGTATTGAATGTCGTCTAAAACTACCTCACCATAGCTGTTGTCGTTGTGGTTTACATCATTATCCACCACAATTTCATCATCGACAACTTCTGAAGCGGTTTACAAGGAAATATTTAATCAAATAAATCCAGATTGTGACATTAAAATTGTAAATGTAGAAATAATCGAATGATCTAAAAAAATCCCTGCCTGTAACATTCATAATTGCACTTTTATAACATTGACATTGTCACATCATCATCACAATCTCACACTCCCATCATCTTCAACATCATCCTTACATTCATACATTTATTATCATCTACATCAACAAACCTTCCTCAATAAACTGTGGTTCGCACATGGCATCATTGTAGTTGTCTCCATCGTCTAGAATGTTCTCTTCTTCTTGCTCATTCTTACCAAATGTCAAAGGGCAGCTGCATTGCATGCAATTGTTATTACACGATTTAACTGACTATTTTAATTTAATTTAGTAAAAATTGAATAAAAATATGAGAATAATGTTAATTAAAATATAAATGATAAGTTTTTTTATTTCATGAAAAAATATTAAGAAAAAACTTTTAAAATTTTAAAACTAATTTGAAATACATACCTTTTAGTTCCAATGGTCTTGTTTCCTATTTTGATCCTCAGTTTGAAGGATTGAGAAGGACTGAATCCTGAAGAACTTTCATTTAAGGAGGACTGTTCAGTGCAATCATCCTCATTCCCATCACTTTTCTCCCTCTGACGTTTGCGTTCTAAAATAAAAAAATTGCTTTATAATGTTTTCTGCTAGGTTTCATGAGCAATAACGACAATTTTAATTTTTAAAGAATGTCCCATCGGCATAGAGTAGACTTAGAGTCTTACTCTTAGACTTAGACTATCTATCTTGGCTAACTTTGGGCTTCTGAGCAGACGGCATTGTTACGCTAAAGTTAGATGAAAAATAAAAAGGCTGGCCTGCCGCTAAAACTAAACTAAAAAGCAAAGCTCAAGCTCAAGCTGGCAAAGCAAAATTGTGGTGGTGCCCTGCCCCTAGTATATATATATCTATGTATAAGTATATAGAATAGATAGTTACTATACTATAGTAGTGTTTAATTTAAATTTTAAATGTGTTGGGCGTTTTGTAAAACAATAATTTTATTTATTTACCCATTCAAAAATATAAACTTACTGTTTTTAAATTTACCCATCGCAGAAATAACATGAAATAAAAAGTTAGATTAGAAAAATTAAAATCAAATTTTAAAAAACAATGTACAAAAGTAAATTTAATGCAACAGTAAATTTAATAATCATGAAGCGTATAATTTTTACCAAATTCATTGTAACCACACTGCATTTTAAAAACAACATTATTTTTGAAATTCTTCAAAACTTGCCCATTTATTAGAGTATATACTTTATATTTATCATTTTTATTTTGTATTTGTTATTTTACCGGTAAAATTCTTATTCCAAGAAAAATTGTGTAGTGATAATCACTATGGTGACCATTTGGTGACCACCACATACTTTGGAAATCATTTGGTGACACTTTATATTACTTTACATTTTACATTTACAATAAAAATATATTTAATCGTATTATTAATCTTAGGAATAATTAAAAATAAATGAGCAATGAATGGATCCCGAATTAGTTCAAAATATTCAAAAAGGTTTAAACGCCAAAAGGTATATTCGTTGTAGAAATGAATACATTGTACTTTTTATTACGTTGTATCTACTTATTGCAGTGTTGTATTATCTTGAAATCCATTAAAATATTTATTTACTCAATTAATTTTTATAATAAACTAATAAATTTTCAATTTACAAAAGGCTAGAATATCGTCGAAAGTTAGAACACAGCACATCAGCTTCCAAATTTGTGATGATGAGGCAACGTATGTCTGACGCAACTGAAGAATTGAAATATAGACAAGATGTATTAATTACTGACGCTCTTCATTCGTTAATACTAAACATTACTAAGAATAGTTATTCCATCCAAAAACATTACCACAATTACATTAACTAATACTAATATTAATACAAATTACTTATTATTGTTCATTACTAATATTACTTTAAATATCTAAATGACTAAAGTTTGTTGAAGTATTATTTGATATGGTACAACAGCTACTCCAACCAATTCACAACAATATAAAACGAATATTATGGAGATCTATGACAGTACATACTCTAATCTATCACATATTTTATTTTTAGGAATTTTTTTCAAATCACAAAAACCAAGAAGATAGAAGGGTAAATTTAGATCAGAAATCTCAATTATTTAAAGATTGGCTCGTCAAATACGACAGTTTCATTAAGGTGGTTTTGCTGTGATTACTGTTTTGATTTTGCTAATATTCTTTTATGCAACAAGCAAATAAATAAATATATAAATTAATTAATTAATTAAATAAATGTTAAAAAGTTATTTTACTTAATAGACAAACGATTTGAAAAGAATAAATTCTATAAAAACCGCCAAGCAAGACAGAATATTAATTGCACAAATGGAAACAGACATTAAAAAGTTTGTTGAATTTATTAATTAAATTTTATTATTTTTCAAATAATTATTCAGATAATTATATGGTGTAATTTATTTATTTTTTCATCATCATATCATGTCATAAACAAACAAACAAAACAAAACAACCTACAACCACAGCGTACACTTTACAACAATTATATTCTTCTAATAACATTTAATAACAAATTATGAGCAATCTTTGGTCAGTTTGAAACTGCAGAAAGAATGTTTGATACGTCAAAGATCGGAGTTGAAGCGCGAATTGAGGCGATCGTTCGTCTACAGAGCGTTTGTGCGGCGACTGTGTGAGCTGTCGCCTGGTCTGCGAGATGCCAGAGATGTCCTACTCAGATATGATAACCTAACCTTTCATAAGCAAGTCTGTTTCAATATGTTTGGCACTTTTTGTTGTTGTTTGTTTGTATATCTGTGTGTCTGTGTATGTCGCTGCGTGTTTGTATATGTGTGTCTGTGTATGTTGTTGTGTTTGTGTGCGTGCGTCGTAGTGTGTTTGTTGATGTGTTAGTAAGTGAGTGTATCTAAAATTTTTAATTTTTTTTTATGACTTCTTATCTTCTGATGTTTTTCTATCTAAACTTTTCAAATTCTTTTTATGACTTCTTATCTTCTGATGTTTTTCTATCTAAACTTTTCAAATTTTTTTTATGACTTCTTATCTTCTGATGTTTTTCCTTGGATGTCACCATTATACGAAGAATGAAAACCGCATCAAAACTCGTAGAAACTACTGGAGAAAGAAAGGATGAGTCAAGAAAAAATGAGGAATCTGAAACAGGAGGGACTGGCTTACGTTGAGGTGGTCCCGTCTTCCTTTTTAATTCACTTATAAGTCATTTATTCATAATTTATTTATTCATTTATATTTTATATTTTTTAAATTTATGTTTTTATTATTTATAATTTATTCATTTATAATTCATTTATTCATTTGTAATTCTTACACCCACCCACCCACCCACACACACACACATACACACACACACACACACACACACACACACACATATGTTCAGTTATGTTGAAATACTTTGTCACATAGTACATGAAAAATGAGATACTTCATCTCAATAACGAATTACTGATCCGAAAAAATAACTCCAGTCCGTGGATTGAAGGAAGAAACGAAAAAATGAATCAAATTAGCGAAGATGGGAAAGTGACGAAGTTGCCTGATGTGAATGATGCTAAGGTTGATAAACCTTCGGACGTCAGAAATATTCCAGTTGGAGATGGTGGTGATGGGGGCGATGGTGGTGAAAATGTGGAAATAATAAAATTGTTAAGTTGTTCTTTCCATTCAATTAAATTCCTATTTTAACAAAAACTAAAACTTTATTTTCGATTGAAAATTTATTTCTATTTAATTTTATCTGTAATTTATTTCCATTTTTTCTCATTTATTAAATCGTTCGTTCGTAAACATTCACTCATTCACTCATTAACTTAATAACTCACCCAGTCAAAAACGTTCATTCACTAATCTAATCTTCAAATTACGTTATCAATCATTCACTCATGTAGTCCATCAGTCATTCTCATCATCCATCCATCTACTCATTCGCTCATGTGGTCTCTCATCATTCATTCTCTCATCATTCATTCTCTCATCATTCATTCATCCATCTACTCATTCACTCACTACTGCAGAGTTGTAAGAAATATATTCCAAGCTTTGGGCAGGCATAGGAAGCGTATGCAATCATCAGTAGTACCACAACTGGAAAGTTATGATAACGATGACGATACCGGCGATAGTGATAATAATGATGACAAGAACTATGGCGGTGATGATGATGATGGTGTTGACGATTTGCCTGATTTAATCAGTACCCATGTAGAACGAACACGCCACGAAAAGATGATGATGAATGTGAGTTTAATAGCATCATCATTGCAATAATGATTAGAAAATTGGTCATCATATGAATTGCCATCGTCATCATCATTATCATCATCATCGTTGTCATCACCACCGTAATCATCATCATCATCGTTATTATTATTATCATTATCATCATCTTCATCGTCGTCATCATCGTCATCATGTTATTGATATTTTTTTTCCAACTCTGTATATCTTGAAATCAAAGGCGATGGAGTACATGTGCATATTACAAGCCGTCATTCAGCTGATGAAGAAGAAGAAATGACGGCGATGACGATGATGACGATCATGGTGGTGATAATGATGCTGATTATGATAGTGATAATGATGCTTATAACGACTCCCTAATGATGATGATGGTGATGATAATGATGATTACGATTATTTCAATGAGAAAAAAATTAATTAAATATAAATATCAAAATTATTAATATTAAATATTGGTATTTTTCAACGTAGACAATTTTACTACTACTAATTCTACTGCTGTTACTATTACTACTGCTGCTGCCGCTACTTTTGCTACTACTACCGCTACTACTACTACTACTACTACTACTACTACTACTACTACTACTACTACTACTGCTGTTACCACTAGTACTATAATAATAATAATAATAATAATAATAATAATAATAATAATAATAATAATAATAATAATAAGATAAAAACAAAATGAAAAAAATAAAAATTCATTAATACTTGTTTTCATGAAGATGAAAGGAAGAAACGGTTTTACAGACTTTTTTATGATAATGAGTTAATAATTACTGATCAATAATATTAATTATTATCGTTTCATTATTATTATTATTATTGTTGTTATTGTTAGTATTATTTTTATTGTTGTTTTTATTTTTCATTTATTATGCTTAATAACTCCAGCCAGCACATTGCATTAAGCCGGTTAACGCTTCATTACGTTTATACGAATCTTAAAATCTTCAATCACTTACATGCATACATACCTTGCTTCTGATGTCTTAATGTTCTTGTTTGCCTGTTTGTTTGTTTGTTTGTTTGTTTGTTTTGTTTGTTTGCTTGTTTGTTCGCTTGTTTGTTTTTCTGAATGAGTTATTATTTGATTTTGTTAATGTTGTCGTTAATGTTGTTATTTGTTCATGCAGTAGTAGTAATAGTTGTAGAAGTAGTTGTAGCGCTAGTAGTAGTTGTTGTAGTAGTAGTAACGTTAGTATTAGTAGCACTGTAGTAGTAGAAGAAAAAGTAGAAAAAATAAATATAATAAAAAATTAAGAATGACAGTGGTAAAAATTGTAACTCATTTACAGTATTAAAAAACCTCGCCGAACAATTTGATAGTGAATTATTTTACGTATAAAAAAAATTAAAAACCATGAAATCTAATTAAAAAACGCTTGAAATGTATGGAAGGCGCGAACGACCAGCTAACGATGTACATTGATATTCAGAGAGTGCCATGTTTCTTAGAGGGTGGTCCACACGTACCTCTGAATGATATTGCGGTGGGGTGCTTAGGGATGGGGTGTTTCTTTCTCATGTTAACACCTCTTTATATCTTTTTTACATTCGTTCTTAATTACATCTGTCTGCTTGCATGTATGCTTGTCAGTGAATGAATGAATGAATAAATGAATGAATGATTGAATGAATGAATGAATGAATGAATGAATGAATGAATGAATGAATGAATGAATGAATGAATGAATGAATGAATGAATGAATGAATGAATGAATGAATGAATGAATGAATGAATGAATGAATGAATGAATGAATGAATGAATGAATGAATGAATGAATGAGTGAATGAATGAATGAATGAAGGAACGAACGAACGAACTAACGAAAGAATGAACGAACGAATGAATGAATGAATGAATGAATGAACGAACGAACGAATGAATGAATAAATAAAAGGTTATTTTGTAATAGCTCTGTATCTCCCTATCAAAGAAAGGAAGAATTAAATGAGTGGTTAAACGAATGACCACGTAAGAAATCTGGCATGCAAAATAGAGACGGTGGAACAACAAAGACTGACTGATACTTAGGAGAGAGTCCAAGGCCCAAACGACAATCCTCACATAAAACCTACATATCAATTTTTCTACCAGATACAAATATTTTGCCAGTCAATCCCAGTACCAAAAAACCGAAATGAACAAACTCATATTTTTATCAGAGCTACAACATCTTCACAGTTTACAATTTTGTGGATAATAATAATAAACATCGTGTGTGTGTGTTTGTGCGTGTGTGTGCGCGCGCGAGTGTGTGTGTGTTCCATAGTGGTGTGTTTAATTGGACACACTGTGTGCACATTTTGACGCGTATACAAACGCGCATACAGGCAAGCGTATGGACACAAAATACAATACATACACATACATACAAACAAACACACTTCAAACATACACACACATTTATAAACAAACTGACATATAAACATACACACACATACCAACGAACATACATGTAAGCATACACACACATATAGACACATACGTTAATAATCATACCTCAATTGTTGAAATATATTTAAAAAACTTTGAAGAAAATATGACGCAATATGTGACGTGGTACAAAAGTTTGTGTTGAGATCAACTTTTCATTTTTTGTTTTGAATAAATAGTACGACTTAATGAAACTAAAAGGCAAACAGAATAATCTACAAATAAATACCTCAAAACACGTGACACAAAGCTAGCACGTGATTGGCTGACTGTCGAAACTACTTCCGGCTGTTTTCAAATGGCGCCAATGTTCATGGCTGACACAAAATGAATTTGGTCATATGCATCCTGTTTGTTGGCTAGGTAGGAAGATAGAGACGTGATGATGATGATTGTGATGGAGGTTGATGATGGTGATGATGCTGGTGATGCAGATTATGGTGGCGATAAAAATGATGATAAATGAAATGACGATAATGAAGATATGAGGATGATGATGATAAATGAGAGGACGATTGTGATGAGTACGATAAACCGTTATGATAATCATTTTTATCATTATTGTCATCATTCGCAAGTCCAGAACGCGTATGTTTCAAGCAGACACGCACACACAGACTCACACGCACACACACGCAAACACACCCACAAACACAAATTCACGTAGTTGTTATTGACTCCAGAGGCAACAAACACATCAATCACCTGTTTGCTGCCGCAGGACCATTATGATGATAATGATGACGACGATGATGACGACGACGATGATGATAATGATGATGATGACGATGATGATGGTGACGGTGAAGATGATGAAGTTGATAGTGATCATGTTGGTGATGATGAAGATGATCATGATGATGATGTCGAGGATGATGATGATATCTAACAATTTCATTAACAAACATATTGATTATTGTCTTATTGTTTTGAAATAATTATCTAAAACATATTGTAAACTGATGACTCTAAGATTGTCAGATGCCTTGAACTCCTTGAAACATTCATGTAAAACCATTTCATCATAACTTTTAAGATCATTCTATTTATTATTAATATTTATATTAGATTAAAAATTGAATAAAATAACAAATTATTGTATATATTATAACAAATTTTATCATTATCGTTCATGAAGTAGGCGGTCCAATAGAAATTCTAAAAACTCAACCAATGGGCTGCAAGCATTAAAATGATTGACAGTCAGAGCGACCAATCAAAATACGGGATTGCGTTTTTCATTGGATTTTTTTGTATAAAAAGAAATTTTCTGGTCTTGATTTAAAACGGATAATAAAGTTATTAAAATGAACCTTTAGAGAAATATTTAAATATTATTTTATAATAATAAATATAAAAAAATAGCAAAAATATTATGATTGGATTGTTTCATATATTTATTTTTCATGTTTATTTGAATTAAATTATTTTATAAAAAAAACTTTTCTTCAAAAAAAGTTTCCAAGTTAAAAAAAATTAATAACATTCAGAATTCGATTGAAATAATTTGACAACAACACTAACATTGCTATCAACAACGTAGCAACTAACAGCCTTCACACAAAACAAAAGTATCCACAAATAACATTTCGTTCGTTTCTTGATTATTTCAAGCTTAAATGAAACCAACACAATTTTAGACAATTAAACAGCAACATTCAAAGATCTCAGTTGTAATAAAAACATTGCATTGCACCACGTAAAAATACCAAAACAAACAACATCAGATACGTCAACAACAGCCTCAACAAAAACATCAACTCTATCAAAAGCGTCAACAACATCAATATAAACGACAACATGATTGTATCGACAACTTGTTCCTCTTGCAACAAGCCCATACTAGACAGGTATGTATGCTTCATTTTAGACAGACCCTGGCATTCCGAGTGCCTCTCTTGTTGCGTCTGTCGAGTTCACCTCACCCAGTCTTGCTACCAAAATAATGGAAAACTCTACTGCAAATTCGACTTTTACAGGTTCTTTTTTTAATTTTCTTTTGCGAATTATTTATAAATTGCGTGTTATTTTTTCATATTCGTCAACAAAAGTGTTTTATTTGTTGAATAATGCTTTTTAAGACTTTTTTTTGGCCAAAATAAAAAATGTGATTTTTGTCAAAACTGGGTAAATCATCATGAAGACCATTCAACTACCTCCACCCAACCACCCCACCACCGAACGAAACAGGCTGACCTCGACGAAGTGCGTCACTTGTCACCAGGTCATCGGTCCCACGGACCTGGTTAGAAAAATCGACCACTGGTTATACCACGTGACGTGTTTTGCCTGCAACAGCTGCAGACGACCAATCCAGACGCGAGATGACTTCAGCGTTTCTGAGCGCGGGAGACTCATGTGTAGGGAAGATTACGTGAGGAACTTTTTAGTCGAAGATAGTGGAGTTAGCTGTGTTCCTGGTAGCGTGAAGTGTGGGAGGTCAGAGTTCAGACGTCATGATGATGATATGGTTGTCGGTGATGATGATAGTGAAGAGAATCGCATTGATGATGATGATAGCTGTGAGGCGACTCGTGTTAAGAGTAGGAGGAACGTCGGGACAGGTAGTTCCTGTGCTTTTTTGAATTGTAAAAATCAATTGATTAATTATATTTAACAATTTGTGTGATGTCATTTTTTATTTTGCGTAATAATTTTGTGCAAATAAATTTACCGTATGACGTCAGTTGTGACGTGAATTCAAACAAGCACATGCAACAGATCGTAAAACTAGCACACCTACACTTACACACATCTACATCCCAGCACACATCTACATAAACACGAATACACACGCACACGCACGCACACACGTACACACACGAATACACACGCACACACCATCACAACGGATGAAACAAATTTTCTTCATCTCGGCGATGTTTCGTTTGCTTGCATTCACTCCATTTAACGGAAACACTTGCTTACGTCATAATCTAAACGGTCGATGCGTCATCAACATCTTCGTCGTCGTCATCATCATCGCTTTTGTCACTTTATTATCTTGTAAAACATTTTGCGATAATATTTCTTGTGTTATTTATCATAATTACTATCATTATACCATTTGAATAATTGGTCTCCTATCTGTTAAAATAGAAACGTTACAGCAATCAATTCGTGGCTATCAACATCTCATTCATTATCAAATGACATCACCACCGCTTCATCAACAACATCTTCACCACGCTATCATTGCCTCATCCTATAATCCATCATCACATTATCATTACATCATCTTTTAAATTCACGAAAGATAACGAGCCAGCAAGCGGCAGATCACAAAAAACATTCCCTTCAAAGATGAATGAAGTTTCCACAAAAATGAAAAACCTCGAAAGTACTAACAACATTGTAACGTTCAACAAAAACATCAACAACACAAGCGACAAAGTCAAACACATTAACGATGACAACAACAACAACACATCTACAACAATGTCATCTAATTTTTGGGATTGCGAGACAACGACAACATCAACAGCACAAACGAAAAACAACACATCTAAATTTAATGACAGTAACTTTTTTGATCTTCTCAACACGGCAGACTTCATGACAACCTCGCTTCCGACTACCACACCAATCGCAACCACACCAATCGCAACCACACCAACCGCAACAGCCACTACTACAACATCGTTAAAGAATCACGAATATTCCTTTAATGATTCTTTCGCCGATAATTCTACTTGCGAATTTTTCGATGGTAAAGACATCACTACCAGCAACAACAACAACAACAACAACAACAACAACAACAACAACATTGATGACAAAACCTCTGACGTCAAAGCCAGCAACAAAAATAATAACTGTATGGAGGTTTCCAACAACAGATACACCACCACCAACAACAACAACAGCAACGACAACAAAAACAACAACAGCAGCAGCACCAACACAACTACCAACAACAACAGGAAAGCCAACACAAATCTCGTTCTGTTCGATGACGACGCAGACAACCAATCACCACCAACTGGTAAATTTTCTGCCAACAACAACAAAAATGACAATAACATAAATGACCAAAACAAAAACATGAACAACAACAACAACAACAGTATTGACAACAACAGCAACAAAAATATCAACATTAACGGCAACGTATCAGATTCAGACAGCGCCACCAAACAGCCACAAGAACCACACGACAACGACAACGCCGACGACTACGACTGTGACGACGACGATGAAAACGAAAGTGACGTAGCGAATGGAAAAGGGGAAAACCCATGTTCTGGTCAGGGCATCTTGGGGGCAAAACGTCGCGGCCCTCGTACGACAATAAAAGCGAAACAGCTGGAAACTTTGAAAACCGCGTTCGCTTCAACTCCAAAGCCCACGCGTCACATCAGGGAACAACTGGCCCAAGATACTGGACTGAATATGAGGGTCATTCAGGTTAGATATATAGGTGATTGATTGATTGCTTCATTGATTGATTGAATGATTGGTTGGTTGATTGCTTGCTTGCTTGCTTTATTGAATGATTGGTTGGTTGGTTGGTTAGAATAAATTATTGAAAACATCCTTATTAACATTGTCACCCTCTTCATCATCATCTTCTCAGTCATAGTAATCACCATCGCCATCATCATCACCATCATCTTTGTAATAATCATCGTTATCATTGTCATCTTCAAAGGAATTAAAAACATATATACGTATGCAGACATGCATATACCTTTATATATTTGATAACATATTTTTAGGATGACTTACAATATAGGATATATATATATATATATAATATTTATAGTCATATTTACATTTATATGGGTGTTTGTATATTTATAATATAACTTGTATGCGATATAATGGAGAAAAAATTAATCTTCTTACATTGCTAATAAATGCTTTTAACATCAAGAGTATTTTAAGCGTCAAGTAGATCTCAATATGTCGTTTGGAAGTGTGATGATGATATGATGATGGCGATGTTTGTGAGGATAATGACGATGGGGATGATGTTGGTGGTTAGGTTAATGATGATGATAATGATGGTGGTGCTATTGATGCTGATGATGCTGATGATCGTGATTATGATATTGGTACGGATAATAAGGATTATTAGTGATGATGGTAGTGTTAATGATAGTGATGATAATGATGATGGTGATAACGATGATGAGGATAATGATGATGGGGATAATAATGATGGTGATAATGATGATGGGGATAATAATGATGGTGATAATGATGATGGGGATAATGATGATGGGGATAATGATGATGGGGATAATGAGGATGATAATAGCATTGTAATTTGATGTATGTTAGCAGTATTGTTTGCAATTTTATATGTAAAAAATACACAATTCTAGAAAAAAAAAATCCTATACCCAAACATCCAATGGACGGAAGGTACATTCAGGTGCTGCTGCTATTGAGGATATCCTATTGAAAATTCGTTTGCATGGAAGGAAGCAATGCTTGAAGAATATTAATATGAACAAATCTCATTGTTTGCTTGCTTGCGTCTGTGTTTGTTTGATTGTGTGTTTGTTTGTGATTTTTTGCATCTTTGGTTGTTTTCGTGTGAATGTTTATACTCTTGCTTGTGTGTTTCGAGACACCAAGCGAGAAGACCTTTGCCTTGGTGGCCAGTATTTTTTGTATTAAGAGTCAAAAACTCACTATGCGGACTGAAAAAGAACCATTTTATTATTTTATATTGAAAAAAAGGGGTCATCAGCCTAATTTTGACCCCACTACCTCAAATCTTCACCCTCCGTCAAAATTTTAAAAAATTTTCAAAATTTAAACATTTTCAAAATTTAAACATTTTCAAAATTTTGGCCCACACCGTCAAAGTTATTCTAGATCCGCCACTGCTGGTGGCCATCTGTCTGAAACCAAGAGAGTGAAAGAGAGAGAGAGAGAAAGAAAGAAAGAGAGAGAAAAAAAAGAGAGAGAGAGAGAGAGGGAGAGAGTGGCACGGACAAAAATGATGTTAAAACAAGTGTATGATGTAGAGATTTTCAGTTCACAAGTACCCGATCAATGGGCTGAGTGGGACTGAGTGGATGGATAGATAGATAGATGGAGGAATGAATGGATGGATGGATGAATGCTTTTTATATTGGGATTATCCGTGTTATCGTGACTAACTGCACTTGTCTTTTGTAAAGTTTTAGTTTAACAATGATTTTTTTATATTTTTATTCATTTTTGTGTTCATTAAAAAGGAGAACTGCTTCATTTCATCCACATTATTTCTACAATATCTGATGAACTTTGCTGAAAAAGTCAGCTACTTTGAAAAGTAAATAAAGAAATAAAAAAAAATAAAAACAAATGAAAAAGTAGAAAAAATATAAAATAGGTAAGGTTGCTTGTAACTTTAAAAGTCAGGAACGAGAGCACATCTGCGCATGCACACGTACCAAGTATGCTCCACTAATACAAACAAACAGGGAGATTTTTCACATTTGTTTACCCTGCTGATGACGTAAGCACTTGACGTCATAAGAGTCCATACATACGATTGGCTGGCTAGCTGGATGGTTGGTTGGTTGGTGATGATTGGTTAATGGACTCAGTCACGTGCCGTTGATGTTATTCTGAGAGGCTGTATTGATGTTTTTGATGAAGATGACTATGATAAGGATAATGATGACGATGACTACGATGATGGAGATGAGGAGGATGACAAACAACCACAAACACACTAAGGTACATGCAAACGCACACACACATACACACACACACACACACATGAGCTCACACAAAACACACACAAACATATACACACACAGACCAACAATTAAAACACTAGGACGTAAAAACAAGATTATTAATCAAATTAGAGCTCCGCTACGCGCTCCTGCTACAAATTTCTGACGTGAAAATTTGTTTCGTTGCCATAGTAACGCTGTTCGGTTGTGCGCGTCTAATTGAGTAATAAATTGGAGAACCGCTCAGGAAAATATGAATATAAATTTTATAAACGCTACCACTACTACTACTACTACTACTACCACCACTACTACTACTACTATTACTACTACTACTGCTATTACCACTACTACTATTACTACTACTACTACTTCTACTACTATTACTACTACTACTACTATTATTATTATTATTATTATTACTACTACTACTACTACTACTACTACTACTACTACTACTACTACTACTGTGGCTAGTACTACTATTGCCAGTACTGCAATTACTACTGCTTTTATTAACACTGCTACTACCACTGCTACTACCATCACTACAACTGATGTTGCTGCTGCTACTTCTACCACCACTTCAACTGCTGTTACTAATACTAGTACTATTATTACTACTGGTAGTATAGCACAATTGCAATTTTCATCATCAATGTTGTCGTCATTTATATGATAATAATGATAATAATAAAATAATGATAATAATAAAATAATAATAATAATAATCTGATAATATCTTTTTGTCAACCGTTCATGTTGTTTATAACTTTCTGTCGAAATTTTTTTTTCTCAAAATATGATTATAATGATAATAATAAAATAATGATAATAATAAAATAATAATATTAATAGTCATCATCATCATCATCATCATCATCACAGTCTTTACCCTACCACCACACCACACCACAACATTTCAGGTCTGGTTCCAAAACAGACGCTCCAAAGAACGTCGCTTGAAGCAGCTGAGCGCCCTGGGAGCCAGACGACAATACTACAGAAACCCGCGAAAAATGAGGATGATGCGAGTGGCCGGCGATGGCGATGACGTCACCGGAAGGCAGCCCAGTCACGTGACTGAGGTTTTCCATCCGGGATATTTTACGGGAGCCGGTATGTTTTGTTATTTAATTGATCGTCGTTCCGTGTAGCTATCGATACTACTGCCTGTTGCTTGTTTATTTATTTACAAAGTAGATAACAATGAGATCAGTGAAATATTTTTCACCTGAGGTTACTTCAAATCATGATTCACATTTCTTTTCATTAGAGGGCTAATTATTATTGAATTTTAAAAATTATTTGTGGTTTATTTGATAATATATCAACAGTGTCAGCAGTTATTTTCAATTGTTTCAATATCACAGCTATACTGATGATGGATACGTTTCATTATACCTTACACCTCTATATCATCATTGCTCTTCATGTTATATTGCTACTACTTACACTGCTTTTACCACTTCTGTTCAGTTTTTACATTCAGTTTGTTGGTTCAAAACCTTTTAAACAAGTATACATTTTACAGTTGGCATTTTCTCATTTATTCATTAATATAATTTTATTTAAAACACTATAAAAAAAACCAAAAATATTCAAACAAAAAACTGATTTAACAAAAATTTAAGTCCGAGAAGTATTTAAATAATCTAATAATCACCTTCATAATGGGAATTTAAACGCTATGTTTGATCTAAAGGATGAAAGAATTAACGGTGTATAAACAAACATGTATAGCCATTTGCACGTACATTGTATGTATGTATGTACGTATGAATGAATGAATGAATGAATGAATGAATGAATGAATGAATGTATGTATGTATGTATGTATGTATGTAAGTATGTATGTATGTACGTATGTATATATGTATGTATGTATGCATGTATGCATGTATGTGTGTGTATATTTTTGTATACATCTGTATGTGCGTGCATGATTATGTGCGTGTACGTGTTCATTGAATTGTGCCCTCATCTTACATAATAATTATCACCGTGAAAAGATTTGTTTACATTACATTACATTCAACAAACTCTCAACATTCATTGATCAGATGTACGCGTGAAAGTATGTATGTGTGTGTTTCCAAGTATGTGCATGTGTGTGTATGTATGTATGTGTGTGTGTGTGTGCGTATATGTATGTTTGTGTGCGTATGTGCATGTGTGAATTTTTGCCCATGAGAATTTGTTAAATCATTACCTACATACACGTATATAGCTTGACGTACAGCAGAAATGTTAATCTTCATACAATATATACACATATATGTATGCACGCACATACACATATATACTCGCGCACAAACACAAAAATATATGTAATGTTTATATACACATAATACTGTATGTAGATTATTGCCTGTGTTTCACATGAGTGAATCGCACCCCAGGGCTTGTTACATCGTTGAACCTACCTACATAACAATTTTGTGTGTGCGTGTGTTTGTATTTTGGTGTGTGTGTGTGCATGTATGTATGTGTGTGTTTCGTATTTTAATATTTCGTTCTCTTTTTCTACTTCTTTCTCCATCTTTTTCTTCTTTTCTCTTATTAATGAATGTAAATTTTCTGAACGATTTTAAGAATTGCAAATATTATTTCATGATTGACGAGATATTTATTCCCATATAAAACATTTTAAATCTCGAAAAGTAAATTTGCCTGACTGAAAAATGTCATTTGCTCCACAGTTAACTCAGCAAATGTAATCCAAAATTAATAATTTGTATCATATGTGAGTTATCCAAGACAGCAGCAGCAACAGGTAACGAACACATGACGTTCCTATCTAGACGTTTACTTGAAAAACCACGCACGCAAGAAAAAGACACGCACACGAAACGCAAAACGCAAATACAAAACAAAGAAGAGCGTTTGAGCTGAGAGTTAATGCACTTTGAAGAGCGTTTAAAGTGCCTGCATATGCAACTGATCTAAGAGTTCATAGTGACGAACGTGGCTCTACATGACAATGGATGGATAGATGGACAGAAAGATTCATTCATTCATTCTTTCATTCAGTCGTTGATTGATTGACAAACTAATATATGGGTTTCTTTATGTTGCTGTGATTGTACAAGTGGATCTGCTGTAAATTTGTGCTAATGTGCCTTTCAAGTTGATGATGATTGTGTTTTTCATAGAGTGTGCTCTGTAATTTATTGTTGTATTGTTGTTTCATTTTCACGCATTTACTATGCATCAAATGTGAACCGTTGAATAGCTATACGTACGTATGTATTTGCGCCTTCTTGTACAATGTCTTCTGTGCTTGCGATGGAGTTAGTTTTGTTGTTTGTACGATTATTTCCTATTTTGATTTGCATGTTGTCACTATTGATTTGTTGTTTGTTGACCCGAAGATGCGTGTTTGTGTGCGTGCCAGCGTGCGTGAGTGTCTGTTGATGTGCACGTGCATGAAGATTTTGTACGTGAGTTGTCCGATGATTGTTTGATGTTCTGCCCCAAACGCGTGCGATCCAAAGTGTAAAGTTGTTTGTTGTGTTTCAGTGAAAATGAAGAAGAATCTATATTCTAATGTTTTCGAAGCAATCTAATGTAATATCTCTAAATTTATTTTAATCTTAACAATCTGTCGGTAAATTAAAATATTTTGCAATTTTTTTGTTCGCGTCATTCCAACGTTGAAAAACAATTAATTTATTTTTGTGGGTGTGAGGGAAATGCAAAAAGAGAAAACGTATGCATGTGTGTATGCTTGTGTGTAATGTGTATGTGTTAACGCGTGCATTTTAATGACCGTTAGTACCTGAAGCAGTTTAACACACAATGGCTTTGAAGTTTGTATCGTCAGGGGCACTTGTATTTTTATGTTGATCGTGGTATTGTTTCTTATCCTCTGGGTATTCTTTCTACAAGTCACTACCATCTCTCTTCATGCCTATTGTGCACTCACTCTTGTTTGTTTGTTTGGTACACATTTTTTTATCAGGCACACCACATCCGCCTGCCTGCACGCCTGCTAATGTTCCGACGCAAATATACTTTAAGATGGATTTGCTTGCTTATTAACGTAACTTCAGACAGACGCAATTTGAATTGCATGCCCAGGTATTCTAACACACACACACAAACACAAACACACACACACGCGCGCGCGCGCACACACACACACGCACACATGTTTTTTATCAGCAATAACACACAAGTTGGCACATGTTTTGGTAATAAGTTTCATAGATGTTTCTCCGTTAGATGTATAATCTCGTCCGGCAATTATTTATATAGAATGGAAAAAATTTTTCTTTAATTTTAATTCTATAATCAATATTTAATGTAGCGAAAACAAGTAGATACTTAATTATAACTTAATAAACAAGCTAAATAAATAACCATAATGAATAATACGACCCACAAACAACTAAACACCAGATGGCACGGTGGATTACTATGCAGCCTACCCACCAGCGACAACACTCTACACGCCAGAATATTTCCTCACTCTCGAACAGCATCATCTCCTTCAGCAGCAGCAGCAACAACAACATCAGCAACAGTTGCTGCAACAACAGTTCAAAATTTCAAATGACGGAGGTAATGTAGTTCAGACGATCAAAATTGTTGACGAGCCACTGACTTTCAGGTACGAGAAGGATGGTAACTGCTTCAACAACGCCATGCTGGGGAATCCTGAAGGTTCAACATTTTGCTCCTACTGTTTTGTTGACAAAAACTTTGTTGCTGTTGAGAATTTTCATTGTAAATTAATTTTTTTTAGAAAAATCAAATAAATGAAAAAATGAACTATTGAATGAATACAATAAATAAAAAAACTGTATGTATGTATGAATGAATGAATGAATGAATGAATGAATGTATGACTGAATGAATAAAAAAGCAGATAATTTATTGTTGATCATAATGAACTACACAAACAAACACAAAAAAACAAAAATAAACAACTTGCAAATAGCAGGCGACATGGATCTGATGAACAAAACGATCAACAGTCCTTCTGAACTGTCCAACTTTTCGCACGATAACGAGGTAAGTTGGTGCTATCAATGATGTAAACCAGGGCTGGGCAAACTACGGCCCGCGAAGCTATTTTATGCGGCCCGCGGGGCCTTGTTCGCAAAAAAATCGTCAGCCAGACATTATGACCAAAAAAAGAAAAAAGGAGCCACAAATCTTAAAAAATTCGCCCCCTGGTCGCAAAAATTTGCTATTTAAGTACATATGCGGCTCTACAAAGGTAAAATAGTTCTCAATGCGGCCCTCACAGCAAAATGTTTGCCCCCTCGTGATAAAAACGATTTAAAATATTGATATCTTTTCAACTAATTATAGGTCGGGAAACAAAAATATTTTAGATCATTCTGTCTCATCTCCCAAAACCTATTCTTAAATTAAAGTTAATATGAACACGTCATGACTTGCTAATGTTTAAAAAAATATTTACACCGTATTTATTATTTTGACGTAATTTAATTCGACGCTTAGTTTTGACGAATCGAGTTTTGATGGTTCTATAAGTTAAAAATGCATTTTAAAATGACACAACAGGTTATCAGAAGAAAATGTCACTCGATCGACGACTTCGATTTGTTGCTTAACAACAACAATCCAACTAACACCACAATTAACTCAGCGGTATCCAGCAACAACAACAACGATAGCAGCAGACACGTGCAACGTATACAATGCGACGAAGACATGAGAATCTACGAAAATGACCAACAAAACATTATCAACAACATCGCCAACAACAACCAGAATATCATTTACGCAACAACACAACAACGACAACAGTTATTTGAAGTTGTTAGCCTACGATCGAGAACGGAAACTCCAGAAATTTGCTCCTGGTGAATTAAAGAAGATTTCCGTGAAAAATATACGAGGCATTGTTTAAAATCTAGACCAAAATCTAGGTTCTTTGTAAGAAAAATTAAGACATTATAACAAATCGTCTCGTTTCGTTTCATTATAACTCAATAACACAGTGACAATAACATTTTGTTACTGTTTGCCTGTTTGCGACGAATGACAAATTTTCTTGTAGTGTAGTAATAAACCGAAACAAAAAGCTTCAACTTTTCCATGATTTATTTTAATGCAAGACTGGAGTTAAGCCTGGTATAAAAATTTAATAAACTAAAAGAAAAAATAGTACATCACACACACACACACACACACACACACACACACACACACACACACACACACACACACACACACACATATATATATATATATATGTGCGTGTGTGTGTGTACGTGCGTATAAACAGTGTTAATAAAAATAGTTGATAAAAAATTAATTCTGTTTTGTTAGATTTCTAAGTGCTCAGACGAGTGAAAAACACTGTTAAGTTTAAATTCTGATGAAAATATCATAAATATCTACACGTGTGGTAATAATAATAATATTATGAACATTTACTTATTTACATAATATTATATTATTATTAACATATAAAAAGTATTGATTTTATATAAACAGTTATAACATATAGCGAAATTAATGGATGAAAATTAAATAAATCTTGCTAATAATAATAATAATAATAATAATAATAGGCGATAAAAATAGTGACTGGGACGTTTCTCTAATAAAAGTAACATAAATCATGATAATAATAACAATAATAATAAGTTAATAAATGATTAATTAATAAAAATAATAAAAAATCACAATAAATAAAACGAATTTAAGCGTCCGAATGAGAATAACAAATTTTGTGTAAATGATATGACGAGTGTATTTACTAAATCTAAATACACTTTAACGCGCACATTGCATATGGTTTGAACAATTTAAAACGAATCAACTATTATACATGTAGAGAGAGAGAGAGAGAGAGAGAGAGAGAGAGAGAGAGAGAGAGAGAGAGAGAGAGAGAGAGAGAGAGAGAAAAGTGAGAGAATGTTACAAACTGGGTTGGTGAGTTAGCTCAGAGTATAGTACATCGTTGCACAATGACATGGTTCGGATGCTGCCTGCCCTGAACTCATGAACTATGATTGGGTGCCTACATCATGAACTAGGATTGGGTGTATACATACATACATATACTTTGGTGTGGATGCTACAGCTTAATATGAGACAGGGTAGATAGAGTTTGTCAGAGCTACATGTGGAGCATGAAATGAAATACGAAACAAATAATAAAACCGTGAACAACATCATACTTAACATCACACACACACACACACACAACACACACACATAAATAAACTAAAAATCTGAAACGTCTCCATTGAAGCTTCCTTAAATAGGGCTTCTAATCTTAACTTTGATTTCTTAATGTAGGAATCTTTATGAAATTTCATTAATGCAAACATTTCTATTCAAAGGCACAAACTTTTGAGTTTAATGATCAAATTACCGACATATGTTCAAAATTGAAAAAAAATCTGACACGCAATTCATCGAAGGCAACACCGTATGCTACAAGATATCATCCATTACGGACGGTACGTGGATACAATAAATGTTTAACACTACGTATGGATACGCATCATCAACAACACTCTCCTAAAAGCGGTTATAACAATGCAACCACGAAAAATTCACCTAGAGTTAACCTTAGCAGCATTTATATAGCGCAAAACGAGAAGACTATTGTGTTTTAGTGACATGAGAGAGTTATTTTAATCCTTCTAATACATGATATCAGAAGAACGGCATTTAGACAAGGAGAATAAATGTGATAAGTTAGCCATTGATACGATACATGTATGTATGTGTGTGAGCACTTGAAACATAATTTCAATTAATCCCACACGTACAAACCGTTCACAGATATACAACAAGTTCACATAGATATTCATCATATATGACATCTTGACAAACTTAACTTTCTGTACAATTTTGTGAACAATTTCATTCGAGAAACCTCCGTGAAGTAACAAATCCTATTGAAATTGATATAAAATGTACACACATATATAAGCGTGTGCCGCGTGGGTGTACGCCAGAGATGTACATATACGATGTATAGCATGAATGAAAAATAATCTGTATATATATATATATTTGTGTGTGTGTGTACATATGTGAATAATAAACAACCAAAAAACATCATGCAACTGATGTAAGAAAGCATGAAAAATGCCACAACTTACTGACGCTATTTTTAGACAACATCCACATATTAAAAAAAAGAGATAGAGAAGATAAAAAGAGTGTGTGTGTGTGAGAGAGAGAGAGAGAAAAGGGAGAGAGAGAGAGAGAGAAAGGAAAAGAGAGTGTATATGTTGAAGAGTAACAGAGTGAGACAAATTTAAAGTGCCATGCAGTGATAAATATTATAATTATACTGTTAAAATTATGACAACGTGATTGATCAGTGATAAAATATAAAGGAAAAATTACATTCACACAAAAAAGCATGAAAAATAAGCAAAATGAATGAATGTACGAATGAATGAATAACAATATCATCCCAGTTTATAAACTTGCTATAATTTCAAATCAACTTTTTACATTAAGTTATTTCCATTCATTGGTGGGTAACTATTTGACAGGTTAACTACTTTTAATGGATCAATCAAAAGACTTAAAAAAATTAACCATATTTCAACTATAATCATAGTTTAAATTTTATTCATTCGATTTTAAAATTTCAATTCTTTCGTTTTTCCAATATAAATTTTCATAAAAAGATAATGATAACAAATAGTCATCAATGTGATGCCAATGATAATAAAAATGAAAAGTAATGATAATGTCCATAAAATAGGATGATAGCAAAGAATGTGATGCAAAAAAATGAATGATGCGTTCATAAAAAACAGTCAAGCACACACACAGACAGATAGATACACACAAACACACACAAACTGACACAAATACACACATCTCTTAAACTGTCTCGATCAAATCTTCAAATCTTTATTTCGGTTAAGACGATGACCAAGACCAGCCCCATCGTCGTCACCATCGGCTCCTGTCTCATCATCTTCATCATCCTCATCCGACTGAAACTGTGAAAGTTTCTCCTCCAGCTCCTTGATCCTCCTCTCGTGACCTTTGGCAATGATCTTCAACTTTCTGACATCTTCCACAAGAGCCTTGACGTCCTGGTGGATAGCGGTCGAGAAGTTAGTGGGTAGTCATTCTAATCATTTGATTGCTGTAACATTTTCATCTACATGTATGTGCTCATATGTGTATACATATGTATACATGTATGTATCTCAGCAGGTCAACTACTTACTTGTTTGGTTTCTTCGAATGTGAAGATTCTTTTATATTTAGTAAGAGAATCATCACATTCTCAAAAAATGGTATTTCATAATGATGAGTGGAGAATCATCACATTCTCAAAAAATGCTATTTCATAATGATGAGTGGAGAAATTAGTGAGAGGGGGAGGAAAAACTTGTTAGAGAACATTAAAATCTAAATTGAAGAATGAAAAAAATGTAAAGTGAAAATGAACTGAGCCTGGAGATACATCACAAGTGCAAGTATTTCAAGTTATTTTCTTCATCTCATTTTATAAACAAATATAAACAATTCAGTATACAAGAAACAATTAGAGGCTATTTATCTAAACTCTCCAACACAAAATCAACTAACAATATCTGAATATCCTGATGGCAGGATCTCATTCTGTGGTGGTCGTTGTTGTTGAAGATGTTGAAGCTGCTGTTGTTGGGCCGAAGACGGTGGTGGTGCAGATGGTGAAGACTTTTGATTGGCAGTGGATGCTGCTGCTGACGTTGAAGAAGACGACGATGCTGGCGGTGAATGGATATGATGCTGATCTGACTGATTGATTTCTTTGGCATTCAACTGCTGGTGATCCAGACCATTGAGGTGAGCGGGAGATTTGAATACTCCTGGAGTTGACGAGGAGGATGAAGAGGAAGGTGGCGTGGCCAGAGATAATGAGGAAGTGAGGAGTTGATGAGTGTATGACTTGGTGGATGAGTTGAGGTTGCTGGCAGCTCTGCTGACCATGTTGTTCGACTTCATACCACAACCTGCTCGAAATCCAGTCTTTTGAGATGAACCCTTGTAGCCTTCCTTCAGTGAAACCTGCATAAATGGGTGAAGGTACAAAATATGAAAATAAGAACCATATATTGTAAAATCAGCTTCTTATCTAGCTTTTATCGAGGCAACTGTTTCCTACCCAAATTACCCAGCGAAACCACAAAAAATGAACTGACCAGAACAGGGGGAGCATTCTTGCCGCTGATCCACTCCTCTGCAGTCAGTGCGGGGATGTCACCTGCCGTGTTGGGGTAGAGGTCATCCTGAAACAACTCGGACTGTTGTTGTTGGGTCATGGTGTGGTAAGGTCAGCCAGTGGGTAAGTTATTAACATCATTAATATTAAGAATAACTGCTACTATCACTAATAGCAACTAAAATAAAATATAATTTAATTAATTTAAATGAGATTTCAACATAATATTAAAAAAAGAACCTTTCTTGGCACTGTCATGGGGATGACTTCACACAATCCTTTACTGTGCAGCTTGTAGAATCTTAAGTCGAAAAAAAAAATTTTTTGTGATCAAATTTTTGAGAACAGAAGTTAAAAAAATCATTTAAAATAATCAACAGAGAAACCAAATCAAGATGACAATATATTTACATGCCTAAACATCTATGATAAAATTTACCTTGGCCGAAATATCTCCAGATAATTTGGAAATAAAAAAACGAAAAAATACGGCGCATGAAAAATTGAAATGAAAAATTCCCAAACCTTGCAATCTCACAGGCATTGACATTGAGGCCCCTTTTGGGCATCCAGCCAATGCCTCTCTGTGGGTCGGAGGACTGGTACATGTTGAGGAAGTGTGCATATGGAGGTTCGTTCGAGATTTCTATGTAGCGGATGGCACTATCACCCTGTGAGTTTTCAATTAATTAATTAGTTAGTTAATTATATTAAGTTATAGAAATAGTTAATCAATTAATTAATTTAATTATTTTTCTTAATTATTTGCTACACTTCTGTTTCCTTTCAACATGATTACTTTCGTATATACATTTTATAATATTAAAAAAATGAGTGCCAAAATATAGAAGAGTTTGAATCCAGATGTTAAAAAGAGTGCAACATATTTAAACTTGAACTCACACTACTCACACATTCACCGTGGGAAAATTCAGAATGTCAAATATAATAAGCAAAATGACTATAACAAACAAGCCTCTATATCAACTAGATAAAAAGCATATAAGAGTGTATATAATATATATGTATACATGACATGACACATAAACCAACACATCACGCACGTTGGCTATTTTAGTTGGGGATCTTTGTGCATTCGAATGTAGTCACTACAGCATAGAACCAAGCAGCGCCTTAGACCAATGATAAATAATAAAATAACCTTTCCACAGAGGTATATGATGCTGGTGTCCGGATCATAGAATGGGAATATAACTCCATTGCTCGTGTCGATGTCGTGGATCATCACATTGGACAGATCCTATAAGCAGATGCAACGTAATGAAGGAAATATGACATCAGTGACATGAGTTTTTTTTTTTAATGAATACTGATACAGACAATTAATGAATGAATTTGAATGAAATTTTTGAAAAAATTAATTTTAAAAAGTAAACAAAAAGTAAACCGCCAGACCTCATTCCAAATGCCATACTGCCTCTCGCCCATCTTCGAGAAACCAGTAGTGAAGAGTTGACCATTCTTTAAATAAACCACCTGGGTAGATTTACTGCCATCATGTGTTGCTCCTTCCTGGATTAATTAATTATCCAATCAAGCAATCAAATGATTAAGAATCAATTGAAAGAAACAAGTTATCCAGTGATGGTGTAGTGGTAAAGTGCCTGCCATTTGCTACTGCAGTGACTGAATTTCATTGCAAAGAAATCCCCTGCCTATCATATGCATTGTGCGTGATGCATTGCTCCACAGTGCATTCACATGCACTGTGTGTGTGTGTTTGTTGGTGTTGCATCTTATAATTGTTGAAGAAAGATTCATAATAATAATAATTAATAATAATTGCATAATTTCATACATATTAAAAAATAATTGAATTGTTTAGTTATTTTAACATAGTAATTATTCTACAGAAATAATAATTGTTGTTGAATTCATATGGATTTCTGGTATTAAATTACTTATAATTTTTTTACTTGAAAGTACAAAGTCAATGGCTCAAAATTTTGTAATAAAAGAGTACATAAGCAGCACATCAAATTTTGAACTATGGTACCACAGAGAAAATTGTGATATTCAGATGAAAAAAGTGTAAGATTCCTACAAAAATCTTAAACAATACTGTTTGATATTTTTCAAGATACAGTCAAATCTTTAAATTATTTTGCATAAAGTATCTAACTAACCTTCAAGACTTCACCAGTTCTAGGATCAACAATTCTGACCTTGCGATCCTTACTTGACACTGCAAATCTGGATCCATCATAATTCCAGGATGCACTGAGTGGGATATCTGGGAACTCAATGGACATTATGGCCTCTCCCTCTCCAACATTCCACAGTATCACATGGTTGTCAGATCCTGTATGTGTGTGTGTGGTGTGTACAAACAAAAAAAAATTGATATTTTTGCTGCTTGAAGCTTTGAACCAAAAATTTATAGAAATTGTATTGTGAATCTGTTTCAAGTGCAAGAAAATACTTTAAGAAAATTGAAGCAAATGTAAAAAGTGTAATGTAGGTTGAGCTAGGGTTAATGAAATTTTAAATAGAAACTTATTTTTAAACTTTAGTATAAAATTCATATTTTTAAATTTAAAAGCAACAAATAAAACTAGATAAAAACATTAATTTCGTTTCTCACCACCACTAAGAAGAATATTCAGAGCAGAAGGGTGCCAGACAACCAGCCCTACCCTCCTCTGGTGTCCAACCAGATCAACTAATGGTTCATCTATGTTCCTGAACATGCCTGCTTCAGGGATGCGCCAAACTTTGACAGTGCAATCCTCAGACCCACTGGCTATGATGTCATCATCGTGGGGACACCACTGTATGTCGAGGATTGCAGCTTTGTGACCAACAACTAAGGGAGCATCCCTATCTATTCTGCCTGTCTGCATAATTATTAATACATTCTACTTCTTATTTCAATTTCATTTATAAAAAATCATATCTATATGTTTGTTGACATTTTTGAAATAATGAATTCATAAACTTTAGAAGAAAAACAATTTGACAAGCAGTCAAGATAAAAAAGCTGAAATTCACTTACGTTATGAACCATTATAACTGAGCTTAATTAAAGTATTTAATGTTATTACTCATAATGTACCTTTTCAAGGGAAAGTACTAAGAAAGCCCCTCCCCCAGCTGCCTCTGTAATGATGGCCAAATATTTTGGATTGACTGCACAAAAAGTCGAGTCAACGGCACTCTTTGTTATTCGAATGTTATCATAACATTGCTCTTTTTTCAGTGGTTGGCCGTACACATGACGGAATTTGCTTTGACGAATCGCTCGAAAAGACATTTTGAATCAGGCAACTGTTGGTTGAATAAAAAAATCATGAATCAAGACAAAATAAAATATTGCAGTTTTATGTAGTGACAGTGGTGGCCAATTAATTATAATAAAAAAAGTAAAAATTTAAAAATTAAGCTCTTTGGGCTTGGTAAACTAAACAGGGTTTTAAAAATATATAAAATAATAAAAACAAAACATACCTTGATTTGTGGCAGTAATGAAATAAATTGGCAGATTGATTTTGGTTATTGTTCTGATTATGAATTATTATTTTGTCTTATGAATTATTATTTTGTCTTATGAATTATTATTTTGTCTTATGAATTATTATTTTGTCTTATGAATTATTATTTTGTCTTATGAATAGGACACACAGAGGAACTCAGGGCAAATATATCTGTCGGATGAGTACAATGTAAGGCAAAAAAAAAATTAATCGCAACTCATTAAACAAGATTAGAAACCATTTTTAAACTTTTAAAAAGTAACAAACTTAAAATTTACCAAATTTAATCTTAAAAATTACTCAATTAAAACCGGATTCAAATGACAACTGAATATGCGCACTCGAGCGAACGAGACAATTTCTGTCACTTATTTTTGTAGGTATCTCATTATTAGCGCTTCATTTTCTGGCTTCTTTTATTGAATTCATATTTACACATGAAATTTTTTTATCTCAATAACAACATTAAGATAAACATTTATGTCTCTTCTTTAGATTGTAACTCATTGTACATTATTTTGATAATTATGAATAATTTCTTCTGCGAATATTCTTTATTTTATTTAATTCAGAATATTATTAAAAGATAGCATTTAATAATAACACAAAGGTTTTACTTTAAATTATAGGTTAATTAGGTTCGCTGTTATGTTCATAAGAAACGTTAAAAAACATAAGAATTGAAATGACTTTTGAAATATTTGAAGTTATACTGTCATTAATTTGACGAAATTATAAAGAGTTTAATCTACAAAAGCAATTATTAAGCATTCGTTGGAAATATAATGATATTAATAATGAAGGAATGTAATTATTAGTGATATTATTGTGAATGTAATTGAAAAATGACATGTTGTGAACGTTGGTAGAATTTATGTTAGTGAAAACGAAATGGTAAATCTTGTAAAATTGAAAATAACTTGAAAAAAAAGAAATTGTTTGAAAGACTGAATGAGGATTCAACAGATTCAATTGCAAATGAACGGCAACCAATAATATATTTGAGACGCAGGAGTGACGCTTTATTGGATAAATATACTGGAAAAATAAAGAAAAAACACAGCCAATGGTAAATTTATTTATCGTACGTTAATATATATATATATATATATATATATATATATATATATATATATATATATATATATATATATATATATATATTATCAGGACATTTATACAGCGCCAATTAAATTATTATCTCAAAGGCGCCATCATAAATAATGCAATAAATTCATGAATGACCGCATCTATAAAATCTATAAATAAATTCAATAAATCATAAACATAAATTGTTTGTTACAACAAAAACAGGTAAGTTTTCAATAATTTCTTAAACATAATTAAATTAAATATATATATATATATATATATATATATATATATATATATATATATATATATATA